GTACACAAGCACCAGCAAACACTATTACTGAAAGTATTTACAAATGTTCACAAACCATTGTTTGTCCAATTGACACATTATTCATAAACATTCTTTGTTTAGACTGCAAGTCTCTCTGCTGAACTTAAAAAATACCACCATTTCATATATGACAAGTGTCCAGATATCATTTGTTGAGTAGAAACTTGATAACAACATAAACATTTCATCATGACAAAGTGTTCGATTACAGTTCTATAATTTGAAGTCCAACAAAGACATACACCAGCTGCCCATTTTCCACGAAATGCAGCAGCAGCTCAATATATGATACATATTACATAAGGCCAAACGAAAATAATGTTGTGGTTCTGATTACACCTCTTTCAAATTTAGGGTAGGTAGGTAGGAATTCTTTTTTCTTTTTACATTTTTTTTTTAGAAGTAAAGTACGAACTAATAACACATTTATCAATGTGTAATTGTTTATTCAATCAAGCTTGCGGCCATCATGTCGACTTTCTTTATCAGCATGACCAATGTCTGTTAGTGCCTGTAAAAAAGCAATGGTATCTGAAAGCTTATTTTAGTATTACCTCTAAAATAAGTAGGGTTGTCACCAGAATTCAAGGGTTGGTCAGGTAATCGGAACCACAACAAAAATTTTAAGGCCTAAATTAGCTGATCTCCATCCGCACTAGCTAGGCATGTACTGCTTATATAAACAGGTCCCCAGTAGCACACACCAATCGACAGCTGGTAGTGTGTTTAGGCTATCTACATCTTACCATTATAACCAGTTGACTCATACACAAAGTTGTGAATAATGGAGCTGGGCAATGATCTGGATGACAGAACAGTGATCATCGCCATTAGAAAGGTTGGATATGATTCTTCTCCTTAACAATTGCTATTATTCACCCGTGAAGGTCCGGGTTAGAATATTGATCTTCAGTAACCCATGCTTGTCATAAGAGGCAACTAACGGGATCGGGTGGTCAGGCTCACCGACTTGGTTGACTCATGTCATCGGTTCCCAATTGCGCAGATCAATGCTCATGCTGTTGATCACTGGATTGTCTGGTCCAGACTCGATTATTTACAGACCGCCATATAGCTGGAAATTGCTGAGTGCGGCGTAAAACAAAATTCACTCATTCATTGCTATTATTGATATCTTTGTTTCATATGACACTACTCAGTGTCACAGGCATCAAAGTTGCTGGTAGTGCAGTCGGCCAATATTGTATTAATTGAAATAGATATGTTCCCATAATTGTTCAAAAATGGTTCATTCATTGATTTAACAAAGAGAAATTGCCATTAATTTGTTAGGTATCTGATTAATAATTACAACACAATGTGAAGCTATTGATACAATCACTCTCATTGATTTGTTAGGTATCTGATTAATAATTACAACACAATGTGAAGCTATTGATACAATCACTCTCATTGATTTGTTAGGTATCTGATTAATAATTACAACACAATGTGAAGCTATTGATACAATCACTTTCATTGATTTGTTAGGTATCTGATTAATAATTACAACACAATGTGAAGCTATTGATACAATCACTTTCATTCTGGTTCCCATCAACACATTATTTTCAGGTTGAAAACTAAAATTACAAGTTGATAAGCATAAACTAATGCCAGTACTGACACCAATCATTGACAAACTGAATATCAAATTTTATTTAATGGTGCATTATTTTGACAATAAAGATAAAAGTTATTCCACTGACAATACCAATGTAAAGAATACCGTCTAGATTGCCATAAGATACAACAAAACTAGATCAGTAGATATTACACAAAAATATATAAAAGACATGCCTCAAGTCATTTTCAATTATTTTACTTCGTAAGACACAAAAGGTAATATAATTTCTTTTCAAAGCATGGGGGTGTCACAATGGTGAAATGATTTATAGCTTGTTTGTGTTAGGAAAACAAAAAACACTTTGTTTGGGGTAATAGGATAGGAAATGGCTCAGTAGATCTATAGGTACAAAAATAGTTAATATTGCCATAAAAAATTGGATGAGTTTCCTTGAGAACTAATTATAGACTGTACACATAATGTAGAAACTTTCTACTACCTAGTCAGTCACTAGATGCATGATTGGCATTTTAGAAGATGCTATTTGATGAACATAGAGATTTTTCTGGGTTAGGCCAGACCAATTTTATTTCTTGTTTTACGGATTTTTGTCCTCAGAAAACCTAAAGGCAGGAAGAGAAAAAAAATAGAAATAAAAGTCACCAGTCAAAGTAAATTCCTTCTAAATACTAAACGTATTTTACTTTTGGCAATTTATTAAGTTTATATGGGGCAAAATACGATCTAAAAACATTTTCTGAGCGGGGAACATTATTTTTTATGTATTTTCTTATTCTTGAAAAAATAGGACCGGCAGATCCATAAAACAAGAAATAAAATTGGTCTGGCCTTACATTAAAAAAAAAGAATAAAAAGAAGATGTAACCCAGTAAATCTCTATGTCTAGTCAGTCACTGTTTGGTCAGTCAAGTTTCTCAGAGAGCAAAGGAGTAACTCAAATATATAGGGACTCAGAGTTCAGATGTTCCTTGATTCAGGGATCATTTGTACATACATTTCTGAAGTAAGTAATCACAATAATTCTGACTACCAAATTGTTATTTGGTTTAATTAGTTTCATTGTAAGTAAGAGAACATTGTCAGAAATGTTGATAATTACTGTTGTCCTTCTGCATGATTTTGCATCAGTCATAGCATCTTGCAGCATGGAAACTTTGACAATTTCGATGACAATTTATCAAATTATTGTATCTATCTTTTAATCCCCATTTCTTGCTACAGTACTCTTACCATAAATCTTCTAAACACATAGAAGAATGTATGTCTGAAAATTTGAGAAAATGCTACACAGTGTAAAATCTGATTATTTCTTCGTTTACATTTCACACACATGCAGTCTTACAAGCACAGCGTTCCTTTTCACACCCAAAATGTTTCGTTTGATTTCATCTAGACACTTGGTTTTGGTGACAAAGACCATTTGTTATTTGATTCTAGAATGTATGAGGACTTCAGAGATGTATTTGTCACAGCCGTGTAGAAATCCATGTGATATAATTAACGACTCATGACCAGCCTGCGCAAAACTTGATTTTGTAAAACGATCCAATATGGCAGAAAACTCACCTAGTGACATGTCAGAATTACCTTTGGTGTTTTGATCCCCCCCAAAATCAGTGATCATTAATGTGCTATTGTTTAAAATTCTATCCTGCAAGTAAATATCTGATTTTTTCATGAAAAAAACAATGCTGTGAATCGCAATTTTGTAATGTGTCCAAAATGGAGACATTTACGATGCACCCAATTTTGAATGGTCATTTTCAGAGCTTTTGCTTTGCCTGAGATGATATTGGATAGTATCTAGAAACAGGAAATTTCCAGCAGAATTAAAAAGTGTAGAAGTATATTCGTGTGCGTGATACATTTTGAACGTTATTCGACTTGAATGTGAAGGTTGATTATTTTGTCGTTTTTGTGTCTCGAGTTCTTGTGTATTTTGTTTACATGATACAGTCGAACCCCGTTTATCCGGACATTTTGGTTACACTCGGAAATCGTCCGGATAGCGAGGCGCCCGGTTAACTGGATCAAACAAGCAAAACGCATTGACAACGTATATTGAAAATTTATTCATGTATGTATATCAATAAGTCAATAGTCAAAAACATATAATCATAACAATACCATATTCAATATCACACCAATAAACTTTCTTTCAGCACGTTGATTCACGTAATACATTTTACGTAGCACATCTTACTTGACTCGATATCACATATCACATGTAGCACATTATTTCCTTAAAAAAGTCTGTGATAGGTGTCTGCTTCCTTGGTTTTATTTCTTCAGATCACTTCACCAAGTCCATCAATAAATTCACTGAACCTTCGTCTCCAGTTCATTCGTAGAAGGTCAACAGACTGTTAGCGTAACAACTGCTTGTTGTTCATCATCATCTGCCTGGTCGTCTGTCAGTGGCTGCACTATGTTGATGATTTCTTCATCAGTTAGCCCATGGCCAGTTTCCACGACAGTATCTTCATCAACGTACTGTTCAGCAGTTGGGACTTTGTCGCCGTCACTTCATGGTAACTGCTGCATCAAATTCCGCGGCTCAGCTTAATCCTAATCCTAATTAACATGTGTTTTTGTTACTGATGTGATGTTCTCACACCTGCCACAACTGAAGTGACACGCGTCCCTAGTGTTTTGATGGGTAAGTAATCAATTCACAGCAAACGCCTGCCGAGAGATTAACAATGAATACACTTAGTCGTCCGGTAAACAATACTGACGTGAAACATACATGTACACATGCACATGTGCCCAGATCTTTCCGTCCGGATAACTGGATCATTTTTAAATGGATATCTATGGGAATGGTTTGAAAATTCACCGTGCGGGTCCGGGAGCGCGGGGTCTGGCTAAGCGAGTACAATTACTGAAGGCAAGTTTCGTTTCACCTAAACATCGTCCGGAAGGCGGGGTTTCCGGATAAACAGGGTCCGAGTAAACGGGGTTCGACTGTATATGTACTGGTGAGGTACTAATAAAAGCACAGTTTTGCTTGTTTAGCAAACCAGATTCTTTGGGAATAAAAATATGTTTAAACCAGGTTGAAGAGGTGGGACAAATATGTCCCTCTGGCATGTAGGGCCTATGGATAAGCTAAACTGAGCAATATGCTCACTTGATTGATTGTGTCTGTCACAAGTAGTGATTACCGTATTTTTTGCAATGACTAGTCATCTCATCAGAAACAGAACGTGAAATTGAGTATTCTTTAATTCGATGTTTTCGTTAGCATATTTGGTTTCATTCAACTTTATCTAAACTGTTGATGGGGGCACTTTGGTCTGGGCATGCAGGTTTTTTAGCTGGTTCCTGATAACTACATCACCCCGTTTTCGATCAATGAACCACTGATATAAATGATAAGTTATCTTACCCTTTGTCCATAACTGTCGATCATTATGCAAGTTCCGAGACAATGTTATCTCCAATAAGACAGTGTTGTCACAGTAAACATTCAGTCACGCCGCCCTTATCGTTTACTTCCGGTTGTCAAAGGTCACATCCAGAAAAGCACAGATTATAGTTTGTTTTAAAAACATAATGCCTTAACGAAATGGTTTATGCAAATTACAAGCAAATGGTTTTATCGAACGATTCGAAAAACAAATCAGGCCAAAATGTCAATGCTTACTCGTGGAATAATCGGTAATTCGATTTACCGTTCATAATTTATGGCTTGGTGGGGTGATGATGATTTTTTGGGGGCGCCCATTTTGTTCTGGGGATGTTGGGGGGACAGCAAGTACATGGAATATAGTAATTATGCTTTAAAATATGGGGGACGGTCATTGACTATGTACATGACAAAGGGATCACTTTGTACATAAATTTGGGGGCCATTCCCCATTTACATGCTTTCCATAAAATCATCTATCCCCACCCCACCCCTAGCCATAAATTATGATGTTCCTAACTAAAAGGATCATCTGCCGGTTTCAATTCCTGAAATACTCTTGGATGCATTTATTGCATATAATTCTGTTACTCTTGTGGACAAGTTGAAATTATAAGGGTGCAGGCTAAAACGGAACCGCGTCAAAACGGTACCAAAAACCAATTGGCGAAAACGGAACCACTCTGGCCAAAACGGAACCAATTTTCTCTGGCGAAAACGGAACCACATTATTAAAAAACACCAAAACACTACTAGTTTTTTGTTTTATTTAACACGATCAGTTTATCGCATCCTCCGCATCCATCACAAGTGATAGCGTGTTGATTTCGGCGAACAGTCTTCTCGCAAGTCAAGCACCTCGCAGCCATTGTCGCTTGTACATTTTGATGAATAACCACGTCTTATATAGCATGTATCATGACATTGAGTTGTAACAGAACAGTCATGAGTTGTTGTTTTAATGAAGCTTGTCAACCCATCAAAGACGCCGCTGTTTTCTTTGGAATAATATGCATGAGGCGTGTTCATTAACTAGTGTTTATAACATGTTTTGATAAGCAACATGTTTATACTTGTAGCCTGTGCATTAAGTACCAAGAATAAACTGATAACTGCATTAAAAACAACAAGTTCTTAATGTTTTGAGAAGAGACAAGTTTATTTGGTCAGCCGATAGATGTGAATGGAAGAGTCAACCATGTAAACAGCAAGTATCCATTTTAAATCATTATCGTTGAGCACTTAGTTAACGTAAAGTTTTATTTATACATTTAATTTAGAGCTAAAATTTTATGGTTCCGTTTTCGCCAAGTCAAAGTTCCGTTTTCGCCTCAAGGTTCCGTTTTCGCCAAGTCAAGGTTCCGTTTTCGCCAATTTGATTCCGTTTTGGTTAGTACCGTTTTGGCGTGGTGCCGTTTTAGCTATAACCCAAATTATAGCATGCAAACTACGAGGAAATTAGGATTATGAAACCTTAGTTCTCACTACTGCCACACACAGATTGTTGGGCGTTAGTCAAAACCAAGATCTTATTTTAATGAGTTTGGTGAAAAAAATCATAGATCGGCATTCTAGAAGTTGTGAGTCAATAATGAAGCATTCGACTTTATGTATAACAAGTTCTTGTCTATTAAACAGGGCGACGTTTCGGTGTAGATACATTATAGTCACTTACCAAGCTACAAGCAGGTATATGGTCTCTGCTAAAAGTGATCGCGGTTACACTAGCTTAATATTATATTGATAACGGTGTAAAAAGCTACACCGAAACGTCGCTCTATGCAATAAACAAGAAATTGTTATCCATAAAGTCGTATGCTTCATTGTTGGAAAAAATGATATTGTACCATTATTTCAAGAAAAAAAAATTAAATCCACGAATCCAGGGGTTAACAATGGCGTAACGAGACATTAAACAATAATAACTACAACAGGGAATAAATCAGTCACACGTTTTATTGATATAAATCCACTGACCAGAGCTCAACAAAAGTTCACACTAAAGATGTATATAAATTTATGTGGCACGCTTAGTTGAGTTTACATGTTTTTGAATTATCATGCTATGGTTAATTGTGTATTTTACAGCGTGTTCATATCGATTTTTATTATGTATTCACGATATACGCCAGTTGGTTGTACTGAATTTATACCCGTAGTATGTGTTGATATCTTACTTGGCGTCATACAGCAGCTACCAACAGCAAATACGATCTAATGTCCGGCAAAATAAGAAATAGCTCTGAACAAGGGGCATATGTGGCTTTTTTAATTCTGGTCATCTTTACGAGTGTAATCAGTGTGTTTTATCAGAGGAGAGGGTGACACAGGTGAAAGTTGGCATATGCTTATTTCCATATATATTATACCGGTATGTATTTCGAAACGAACCATACTGGTTCATCATCCGGGACACCTGCATCATCCGGGGCACCTGCAACATCCGGGCACACTTAATATCATTCAGGAGCATGGCGGCTCAAGCAGAAAAGACGCTTGCTGAAATGCGTGTTGTTGATTTGCGTCAGGAACTGGAGATACGTGGTCTAGACAAGGCTGGTGTAAAAGCAGTATTACATGAAAGGCTTGCAAAGGTAAACAATTTCAATGACTTGATTTGGCTTGCAGAAGTAGAATTGTCTGACAAAACTTACCACCACACAATGAACCAAGCCCAGCGTGGTTCGGAACGATAGTTACAAGTAATACTAGCTTTACTATCATGGTGATGACGATAATGTCTCTGTTTAATCATTAATGTGCTGTTAACGTTTTCGTGTTAATAGATATACTAAATGATATTCTTTCATCATCTTCGTTAAGCGTCAACAGCCAAAATATTTCACCAAAATGGCCGTCGATATCGTGGACGATAGAGTATATGCCTAGACCATGTGGAATTGTTTTTGTTTATTCGATCATCTCACCACAAGAGTTTAATTGGCTTTAAGATAGTAAGTAAATGAATATTACTCGTTAGCATTTGAAACCAAAGGTTGTGATACGACACGCTGACGCATTTACGGCTTGAAATCGTGTTTATACAGCGGGTGACCATATTAATACATACAAACATGGCGGGAAAGAGTTACTTCCGTTCCCCTAAACCTAACTTATGGACTTTTAGTCATTTTTGTGAGTTCTCTAGTAATTGTTGTTTAGTTTTGTTAATAATTTTAGTATATATACTGAACCGCAAAAGAAACGCAAGTCAAAATCCAGATTTAGAAAAACTTTACTTTTGACAGATAATGCATGAACACAGGTACATAATAACAATCAACACTTATTGCATGATGATCGGGACATGTCAGTCAATACATGGAAACATTGTTGGTTTACTTTGCATTGAAGACAAAATCGAAATTGATCCAATAAGTCAGTAGCGCGTATGTCCATCTCGTGCATTCACTACAGCTGTGCACCGCCTGAAGATGGAGTGAATCAGACGGTTGACAAAGGCCCTAGGGATTGCCGCAAATGTCCGGATGATGGCTGCCTGGAGTTCTGCTGCAGTTGTCGGACGTGGTCGGACTTCATTCAGTCGTCTTTGCAGCTCGTCCCAAAAATGTTCGATCGGGTTTAAATCGGGACTGACAGCAAGCCATGGCAGTAGTCGGATGTTATGCTGCTGAAAAAATGCCTGAGTGACTCTAACAGTGTGGGGCCTGGCATAATCTTGCTGGTAAATGTGTTGCTTGTGTCGAACGCAAAATGGCACAACCTGGGGTTGGAGGATCTGGTCGATATAACGTTGGGCAGTGACTCCATTTCCCCGACCTGGCTCAATATTCTGGAAGAATACTGGCCCTAATCTCTGATTCAGGCCAATCGCTGCCCATACCATAATGCTCGGACCTCCCCATGCATCATCTTCCATTACACATTCGACAGCAAAGCGTTCAAGTCGTCTTCGCCATATTTGAACTCGGCCGTCAGCATGATAAATGCAAAACCGACTTTCATCAGAGAACAATACCAGTCTCCACTGTTGTTGACGCCAGTTTCGATGCAACGTAGCTCCACTGCAGACGATTCTGACGATGTCTCGTGTGAGGATAGCACGCCGAGCTGGACGACGATAACGGAGGTGGACTCGCGCTGAGTCTGCGCTTAAACTGTATCTCCGCTTATTGCTCCGTTGTGATGTCCAATAGTCTGTCGGGCAGTCTCGTTGGCAGATAAGAATCGATCCCGATGTGCTTAACGTTGAATGTGTCGATCTTACCGTGGTGTTGTGATTCTCGGACGCCCAGGACGTTGGCGGTCAGCCGTGGTCTGTGTAGCTGCAAAAGCGTTCCTGAAGACGGTAAATGGTCGATTATGTGCACATGGAATGCATTGGCAACATCTGCAACACTCTGTCCAGCTTCAAGGCGGCCGATGGCTTGTCCCTCTGTTGCGTCGTTAACCTTGGCATTCTTGGTGGGCGTTTGTCGGGAGATATTTCAAACTGATTTGAGGGCATTTTTATACCCCTATGTGTCCCTGACATAATGCGCATCATGATTTTCATGAAAAACTTCTGTAACCACATCCCACGGCCAATTCAATTGCTGCGTTTTGGCGATGTGCAATATCCAAGAGAAATCACAAACAGAACCTGAACACTAACAAACTGTTTTTTCACAACAAAGGTAACCAATATGTAGTTACACTATAACATTTAACAATGTTCTGTCGAATATTTATTCATTTTGAAAAACTTGCGTTTTTTATGCGGTTCAGTCTATTAATTATTATTTGGGATGGGGGAACGGGAGGAACTCTTACCCAAAAATTTAAGTTCGGGCTAGGTTTAGAGGGGTTATAGCTAAAACGGAACCACAGCATAACGGCACCAAATTTGTTTGGCGAAAACGGCACCATATTGGTGAAAACGGCTACTGCTTTCTGGGCTAAAACGGCACCATATATAAAACAAAGTATGACGTTGACTTATGTTTTATTTCATTTCATTATAACATTAGCAAGATTATATCAACATATGAGTCATTCTCAAAATCCGTGCATATTTATGTCAGATGTTTGTATCCGACAAACTTAAGCCAAAATCAAACAAAAAAAATTATGGTAACTAACTTATCCCAGTATCTTCTACACTTTACAGTAACACAATTAGGGAAAATATATTTTTATATTTACTTTACACCACCCAATTTTACTCAATGTTCATGTGTCACAACTCCAGTGGCTGATGTCACAGATGTGGCATTTGATTTTTTTTGTCTTTTTCATAAGCAATAAATATACAATTTCAAAACTCATTAGCCATGTTATATTGTAAAACTAGATATTTTAATATATATGTACATTAAATAAATATTATCTTTGGATTTTTTCTTTTCAAAATGATGTTACAAATTTCGTAACGGCAGTGACACAATTTCAGGAAATGTCTAATAAAAATGGTAAAATATGAAAAATGAAACATCATTAACTCTTTCAACACCAGTCAACCAGAGGCATTTACTGCCATGAGACCGAGTTCCCAGAGACTCTGAGGTCATAGATGAAGCCTATGTTTATGAAGGAAATTATAAGCTTGTAAAACGTTATTGCTACTACATCCCAAACACCATTTAAAAGATCTAATCCTACTGTTGATAAATATGAAGTTTATTTTTATAATATTATTCAAATAATACAACTACAACTTAAATAAATTTATATTTGAATGAAAATGCAAGCTTACATTTATAACGTCCAGATAAACCACAAAAAGAGCAAAAACTATGGCGATTTTTTCCATTTGTGTCATGCCCATGCCTTTTTCATTTATATTTTCATTTTTACGTAATCAGAAAATTATTATAAAAAGATTTCTTAAACAATATGTATGGTTGCCTATTTCCCGATATCTGTGGCTTTCCACTTGGTAAAATGACATAACTGAAAATACCTCCGTTTTCGAAGCTTAGTATGAATAACATGCGCGGCAAATCGTTTGAAGTCGGGCATTGTTCGAAAACTCTGAACATCAACAACATCACTGGACCCTTGCCAAGAGTATTTTCACAGTTGTAAGAAGCGATTTTATTGGATAAAAATTGGTTTCTAATGATGCTTTTTCGCCACAGTCTGCTATAAGGGTCGTGATTGGTCAAAATCAGACACGTGACCTAAGGCAGCCAATCATATTACGGCAATGGATACCGCCCTCATAAACGAAAACTTTTAGATTTGGACAAAAGTTTTGGGTAAAATAATGCTATTCTGAACATATTAAGCAAGAAATCGCTACCTATACGTAAATTATGGAACTTATTTGACGTATCGTGCTAGGTTATGACCTGTGACAAAAATGCTTCATGTATGTATTTTTGCATTAAACATCGTGTTTATTCATTAGTGAAGATTGAGGCATCATTACTTAGAGCCGAGATGTCACTTGTCAGTGACTTGACTTGCATTACATGATCGCTGATAATATAAAAAGATGGAAATAGTAATTTTTATATGAATCACGTTTGACAACTTTTATGAATGCTGTTGCTTTTTTATTCATTAGTTTATTCAATTTATTTAATAATTTCCTCTTGCAAACATCGCAAAAGATGGAAATAGCTCTTTGACAATGTTATTGTGGACCGCCGCTGCGAAGCATGTGTCCGAGAATCGCTTTTCAATAACATTGCAAAAAATAGTTTATAATTTTAATTCTGCTGATAATATATGCTAAATTGAAATTTAATAAGTGTTTTCAGACATTGTGAAATGTGATAGATTTGATATATGAATCAAAAGTCAGGTAGGTTCCTAAAATTATGTCTCATTTTGACGTGACTACTGCCTGGCCGATTAATCGGCCTCTGGTGTCGAGGGACTCATAACTTTGTGGCCGATTATTCGGCCTGCGGTGTTGAATGGGTTAAGCTTGCATAATTTATGTTACATATATTCAGCAACAATATTATGTTCTGTATACCCCCCCCCAAAAAAAAAAATCCCCATAAAACAAAAAAACTACCAAACAATGGGTTGTTGTTATTTGCTTTATTTAACGTCGCACGCACAACTAAGGTATTTCGGCGACGGTAAACAATGGGTACATTTGTGCGTTTTAAATACAATTTCATTTTGACACTGAATTTGACTCTGGGCCATTTCAGTTGAGTAAATGTACTTAAAACATCAAAGGTTGCAATGTTTTCACGCTAAATTGGGATGCCCTTTCCAATCACTGTCGGCACAGTAGATGTATTTACTATCTAAAAATTCTGCAATCCGATTATCAGCTATGGGATGCCCATTTCCAATCACTGTCGGCACAGTAGATATATTTGGTTTAAACACTTTCATTTCGTCAAAGAAACCAGGATATACGAACAAGCCTAGTGGCTTATATAGACGCAACTCCAGTACATTGTTCCAATAACTGGATACATAATTGAAATAACTTGACAACAAAAGAAAAATACTGTGACAAATTAACAGATAAATGATTGAATAATAAATATGTTCGATATTGTGTTGGTTACGCCCAGCAACGAAATGAGCAGCCGCAGAAAATCAAGTTATATAAAACTTGCCTTACATTGAATATATACGTAGATTTGATTATTACTGGAAGTGGTTACTTTTAGAAATGAACTGTTGTAATGAGTTCAGAATGTCACTAATAGTTGAGTTATTCAATGCGCCGTTATCGTATAAAGTAGTTTTCACATCGTATCCTTGAATTAAAAATACATCCTTGTTCTTAAATTTTGATAGTTCCGACATAATAGTAGATGTATTTACTATCTGCAATCCGATTATCTTATAACAAACTAGTTTTCCCCATAAGATTTTAGTTGGTGCCGTTTTCGCCATAAGATTTGTAGCTGTTTTCGCCAAGTCGAGGTTCCGTTATGTCCAGTTGGTACCGTTTTCGCCAGGTGACGTTTTGCTGTGGTGACGTTTTAGCCTGAACCCGGTTTAGAGTTGGGGGAAAGGAAGGAACTCTTTCCCTTACCTTACCTCCATATTTTGTGATGTGTCCCTTATTATTTTTATTTTTCGGGCCGTCTCCAAACAAAAACATAATTGTTTTCCCCAAAGATAATTTGGTAAGACTTCCGCCCGTATCCCCACTAAATTATAACGATGAGGAAATATTTCTTTCAGTGACATTTTTAGAATTAGGATATGTCTTTTAGTACTGTAATCGTATATATTTTCTGGTGCAATTTTCGCGGAAAGTTCACAAAAGGCCTGTTCGTTCAGTTGTTTTTTCGCGCATTTCAAACACCTGAGTGATGGTATCCATCACAACATTTTCACAACCAATAGACATGCAATGATCAAAGCTAGCCGCCATAATAGAATCTTGTTTACTAACACAATCAGAGAGAGGTGGGATTATACTTGTGTCAACATTGTGATTTGTGGCTGACATGGCTTCGCGTGTACGAATATACAAGTGAAGACCAAAGACGTCAAATTTGCAATTAAACATCGCTAGAAAAGATTATTTACCTATTCAGTTCTAGTTTGTTTTTGTTAGGCATTGTCTTATATGCAGTATTAAGATTACTGTGTAATTGTCTCATATACAGCGCCGGAAATAGCAGTCAGCTGTGCAGTGCACACGTTCCCCTACCGGTGATTTAGTTAAAACGTACCCAATAATATTCCGAGATGAATTCTGATGCAGTGATCTTAAAAAGATAGTATCTCAAACTATTGTTTTTTAAAGAGAAATATATTCTAGTTTTGTGTCATTTTCATTGCAGGTTATGCTCTATAAATGTAAAATATTTATAATCATAACTAAGGTTATGCGACAGCTTTTTTGTGTACTGCCGGATAGTTTTTATGCATGGAACAATTTAATCTGTCACCGATGAGGTTTCGTGCGATTTCGCTTTTCCACTACGAAAGTCGTTTGTTGTCAACATGTGATCGTCCAGCTACATTATGACTTTTGGCGAAACAAAATATGTATGCGTATCCATTTACTGTCAACTACACTTCATTTCAAGACGTGAGTAGACGCAGTATGTAAGTGATTGCTGTGAAGTACGTACATTGTGTTGAGGAATTACTGGTAGGCCAACATCTGTGGACTTCTTGACATTGTTGATCACGTAATTTGTAAACATGGACCGGGAATAATTGCTTTGATGTTGTTATCCGAGAGAAAGACAAATTACATGTTATTCCTACTTGAATATTTGTCATGACTTCCCCATGAATATTTCGCTTGGTATGATTATTGGCGCACAATCTTTTAGCACTAACAGCGCGAAAATTAATCCCACGCAAAAATAACTCCTATAACAGTATGTTCAGATACAATTATAGAAACATGTTAAAACTCGTCCTTATCAGATGAGGAATATATATGATATAATTGACTAGAAAGAAATTTAAGGGGGGATAAGGACAGAAGTCTTTCAAGACCGAACAATTTCTGATGTTATAGTCAAGTTTTCGAATTTTCTTTCTATCAACACGTCTATGAAATTTATTTTCATATAATCGTTTCCTTAGAGTCCTCATCGATACAAATTAGACCTATAGTTTTTCAAATTCTCACTTACTTCATCCAAAGCTGAAATCCTATCGTTTCTGACCTGCCTCAAAGTTGATTGTCACAAGGAGTCAGTTTTCTTATACGGCCTGATCTGGGAGCATTCTCAACTCATCCACGTCGATTAAACCGCTCTTCCACAGAATACATGCTGCTTCTAGGCCTTTCAAAGAATCTTGCAATGCTAGAACATATTTCGCCACTTTGAAACTTTCTCACAATTTCTTGGCTCTGACAAATCAGTTGATTTCCCATTGTTGCCGGAAACAGCCAGAACATGTAGCAGATGACAAATGGATAAAATGAACGTCATGTTCGATCATGTGACAAAATATTATGACGATATGCGATGTCATTTTGGAATAACAGTATTTTAAAAATGGGTGTTGCTATACAAGATATCAAGGCTGTTGCAATTGTACATAATATGGCCATGAGCTGTAGCATCCAACTCAGGTTATTTTCTATGATAGTTGTTGTAGCAGTCTACCTAGATTACATGTCATTGTATTTAATAAATTAAACAGTCTCTAACTATTAAGTTCAGGGAAGATGTCATAAGTGATGCAGAATTGAAGATAAACCCAGTGTTAATTCACAGTAACTGTTTTTATTCTACCTTTTGGACACAGCACTATTTTACGAGTACAAGTACTCATCTGCACTTTGGGGGGGAAATGGTCATTTTGTTCTAAGTAGGGATTTGGGGTATTTTTTTATGAAGTTTGAATTTTCTAAATTCTGAAATATAGCCCTAGGGTTCCTGCAATAATCAGCATAACAGCTAGGAATTTAAAATATTTTACATTGTAATACATGGAATTTCCCAGTAATACTAAAGGTTCTCCAATTACTTTGCTAACCTAAAGATGGTGCCATATGTAATGGGCTCATCGGCTGGTAATTGCAAATTATAATGAAAGCCCAAGAACACTCAAAGTGAGTGCATTAAAGCAACAGAATGGTCAGGAAAAGCCAGGATATATTCATGTAACTATTTCTCTGAAAAAATTCCCCCAGCAATCTCACTTCCAATACCCGGAAAACGTTGTCAGGGTGTAACCCACTTGCTCCCCAGTGCCAGGGCACAGGGCCTACTCATATCTAACAGCATAGGCCTAGTTAAAATCCAAAATGATCCCTGAGGTATTATTTCTTGGAACCTATGGACATATATTAATGTTAGTTTTTAATTTTTATTATTAGTCACTGGAATGCACTTTCACAGGTATTCATTCATTGATTGCTGCTGCTGCTGTTTGTACAGTGTATTGCTATTTCTGTATGAATGTATGAGACATACACTTAACCCAATCTCTGCACTTAAAACATGTATAAATCCAGGAGAATAATTCAGGGCTCCAGATAAAGGCCGTCTCGGCGTATGTACAGATAAAAGATATGCAAGATACGATAGGAAATAATTTAGGAAACGTAGCAGATACGCAGCACAGCAATGGTGTACAGTCTTAGAATCATTTACAAAAGTATTTATCTGAAAAAGTATTGTTTTGTTGTTTATTGACCTGTTACACCATTACTGATACACCATTAAATTCCATTCAGTACTCTAAATGTACTCTTAAGTTTTTCCAGTACTCCTATATTGAAAAAAATAAGGAGTACGTTCTCCTGATGTTGAAAAATTATCTGGAGCCCTGATAATTGAAATGGTAAATTAATTATCCCCCGCCGTGCGTTTAGCGAGAAGCGGGGGTATAGTATTAGCCTCTGTCCCTACGTACAAATTGGAATATCTCAAGAACCGTTCACTGGATTTTCTTCATATTAAATACCAAGCTTTATCTCGGGAAGGCACAGGGCCCAGATTTTGGTGACTTTCACATAATTTTCAAGGTCATGGCGACACTTTGAAGATTTCACCATATTAAACTACATGTTATGCTGGTCAGCGAGATACCTCAAGAACCATTCGCTGGATTTTAAACTACATGTTATGCTGGTCAGCGAGATACCTCAAGAACCATTCGCTGGATTTTATTCTTATTCAACCCCAAGCTTTATCCAGGGAAGGCGCAGGGCCCAGTCAATTTTGGTGACCTTCACCTAATTTTCAAGGTCACAGGGACACTTTGAAGATTTCAGCATGTAAACTACATGTTATGCTTGTCAGCAAGATACCGCAAAAAATATTCTGTGGATTTTCTTCATATTTGACACCAAGCTTCATCTTGGGAGGGCCCAGGGCCCAGTCAATTTTGGTGACCTGTTAACCTGAATTGTCAGCAAGATATTTTAAGAACGGTTCACTGGATTTTCTTCATAGACTTTCAAGACCTCCCTTGAATGTTTTTCAATAAGCAATACATTTAACTTCATCTTAAGCTTTCATTACTTTATAAGTTTGATTTGATAATTTGTGGTGGGGGATTGTCACCTTAGTGACAATGCTTGTTTATTATGTCTTTGCAATTTTTAATCAATCAGGTTTATCCCTCTTTTTCCTCCCAAAACTGCTTCTCTATGCTGAAAAAAGACCATGGTAGCAATTGTCACCATTTATGATTATTTTTGTGTATGTTTAGATAGCTTTGTGGTGAGCAGTAGAATTGCCAGTCATGGCATGAGATGATTGGTTTATTTGCAAGAAGAATATTAAAAGTTTGGGGTTTTTTTTATTCCAGGCATTAGAGGATGAAGGGCATGACCCGAGTGAATACACTTTTGCAGTATCGGATACAACACCCAAAAAGACAGTAGAAGAAATAAAAACTTCCAGAAGTGCAAGTGAGTACATCAATTATGAGACCCTGGTTATGTTCTTGATACAGTGAGTGCAAGAATTTACATTGTCATTGTCAATGTCACCATTAGGGGATGTGTTGGTCTGCTATTGGTCAGACTATTCATTGATAGTCCAAAAACCATGTGTAGGTTCTTCAGCATGTTTAAGGAAGAGAATACATTTTGTGAACATGCATTCTTTAGACAATAATTTCGATAAACATGTTGGATGCAAGCTGTTCACCTTAAATGAGACTATCAAGCAGTCGTGTTCAAGGATTTTCAGTGGTCTGTTTTTCATTATTGCAGGATCGAAAGGAAAGTCAAAGGAAGAGGCAAGTATATTAATATTCTTTTCATGCATTTATTATTGATTGTAATGTTTTCTCTGAATCATTCTTGATCGATGGTTCAGTATTCAGATTTGTCCATTCATTTTGATTGCTGAAATAGTTAACCTTTTAATAGGTACATTTTAAGGCAGTCTTTAGCTGTGTCCTAAGTCTACATCATCATACTGGGAAATGACATCAGAAGTTGATCCAGTGGTTGCAATATCTAACCAACCTGATATTTTGTCCCCTGACCTTGAAGGTGTGGCTTGTTGTTCATGCTGCTGGGCACTAGTTTTGCCTGGCTATAATATTTAAAGATGTTATGATCCAGCAATGAATTTTCATGACAGGAATCAAATGACATTCACTCACTTGTATCATGTTATATTTGAGATCACTTTCCCTTATAATCCAAAATATAACATCTGTTGCATTTGACCACATTCTAAATGGCATGGTGTTCATTCACTCTCAGAGAGTTCTAGAAATGATCAATAAAAAACTGTTACTTCACAGCATTTCAGCTATATTTAAAGTAGTAATAAGTTTGTGTATGTTTTGGACCAACATATTGAAAAAACGTTTTTTGCTGTGGCATTAGGGGAGAAGAAGAAGAAGAAGAAGAAGAAATGTATGAAGAGGACATCGAGGGTGAACCAGATGAAAGTGAGGACATTCTGGAGGATGTTATTGGGGAGGATGTGGAAGCAGAGGAAAGGGTAAGTGTCCAATTAATGTTTTACCATTGTTGTATTGTGAAAGATCTTTGGAGTGCTTTCAAGTTGAAAGAGCATGTTTGTATGTGTAGAAGACTATTGTTTGGATTTAAGTGTCTTATCACTTCAGCTGAATATGAACATTTGTATTTGATCAGTAACTGCTCATTTGGTGGGCATCATTCCTCTAGCCCTCGCCCCCTGTTGTTACAAGCCACTAATTATTACCTCTATCCCTCACCTGGCTGTTCTGTTAGCTGTACTCACTCCCTTGTAACTGGATTAAAGCGGAAGCCAGTAAAGCGCATCCCAACACATTTGAGGTGGCCTCCTTATTTATCCACGAGGACAATATGTATGTTGCATAAAACCAACTAATCAGTCAAGATCTGAATTAATATATTTGTGAATGTAAATAAATATAGAATCTTCATATGTGTTTTGTCAATTATTAGCAACAGTGGTCATCTACTGATCAATAATGATCACTGAGCCGTGATTCTCTATCTATACCAAGTACACATCGTCACCTTCTCACAACCAACACCTGACCTAACGTGTTAGTTAATAGTAGCAGTTAATCCAGTTACAGGGTAGTGAGTACAGCTAACAAAACAGCCAGATGAGGGGCTAGAGGTACTAATTAGTAGCTTGTAACAACAGGGGGACGGGTGCCAGGTGCCATAGGGGTGGAGTCATTTGGTGACATTACAGTTAACTAGTCCCTGGAAACTATTATGGTTACCAGGTAATTTTTTACGTGTATAAAAGGGGAAACCAGTTAGACAAAAGGAAACCTACTGTTAACCAAAGTCATTTTATGAATGCTCCTGTAGTTGGTTATAAGCTGTTGTTGCCAAGGAAATATGCATTCAGAAACCTGTTGCTGCTAAGTTGATTTGCACAGGCTAAATGATTGTATAATTCTTCCTGCTGCTTTACATCGTAACACAGATATTGACATACTACTCCACATTTGACGGATATTCAGGGGCGGAAATAACCCATTGCGACGCCCGAGTCCAGTGTTTTTTTTCTGTCGGGCAAGCTTATTTGTATATCACACTGTACCGGCGTCCAGTTGACTTTCCAATCTTAATTATGTTGTTTATTTTAAAAATCAACAAGGAAACGGTCAGTATAGTGGACAAATTATCAGGGCAAGTGATTTTACATGGGCCACTGTACCAGAGTACACTAGCAAGTTTAAAGTTATTTCTACCCCTGATATTTTGTATTTTTCCAGGGGAACATGACCAAATCTCGTGTCAAGTATAGACATAATAGGAAAGCCTATCTTAACCAATCAAAAGTTGAATAGTATACTGAATGTTCTAGTAGTACGTATGTCACAAGTGAAATTGAGCAACATGATTTCCGTTATCACAACTACATAGAATATCTTACCATTTTTGCGACTGAACAGATAAATCTCGACTGCAATTCTCAACTCTGGTTGTATATGATGTGACTCTGATGTACATTGCAAAATTACCTTATTCAGTTTGTTTCTTTCACATTGTCAGTATAAACTGACAAGTAAGCAGTTATCTCCACGTCTTCTTGAGACCAGGGAGGTAACTGACTTTGAAAAGTCTTGTTTCAACCCTTACTGGACAAGACAAGTTTTCCAAGGGTGGAAACTGGACTTCTATTAGTCAGTATCACTTGCCTCAGGAAAACGATATCTCCAGAACACCCTATAACTTGGGTCAGGTGTAATTGGGCATCACTTAGAGACAATTCCTTTGAAACACTTGTCAACCTCCACAGCGGAGTTATCTCATTAAATATGTCAATGGGTTGGTTTTCAAATTAAAGCAAGTAAATAAAGTGAAAAGAGCATCACAGCTGTTTGTGGAATATACAGAAACTAGTATGCCTATGTTTTGAATTACGTTTCACTCATTGAAAATGTTGCTGGTTGTGGAATTTAAGAAAGAGCAGGGGTGGAAATAACCCATTGCCCGACACCCGAGTCCAGTGGTTTTTTCTGTCCGGCAAGCAAATTTGTATATCACACTGTACCAGTGTCCAGTTGACTTTCCAATATTAATTATGTTGTTTATTTACAAAATCAACAAGAAAACTTATCAGGGCAAGTGATTTTACATGTGCCACTGTACCGGAGTACACTAGCAATTTTAGAGTTATTTCCACCCCTGAAGAGATGTTCTTTTTGCGATGCTTTGAAGATGTACAAGGATGGTAGAAACTAGAGAAATACATTCACATAGATAAGATCGAATAGTATGATAACCAAAGGAACATTTACTTATTGTTGGTTTTGAAAGCTTGTAGACAAACTTATGCTTTTGACTATACTGCCTACCATGTTAGTTTCACAAACTTTGTAATAGCTAACATTTCCGTTTTCTCGTATATACTGAGATAATTTATATGGTTATTCATCCCATTTGAGGATGTCTGCTTGTTTTGTGTTCATTTCACTGTTCACACATGTGATGACCTTGCAAAACAGTAATGTATTCAAGATATGTGACCATAGCCTTGGTGGGAAAAGTATTGTTTTTATATCTGATTAGATGACATTAACCCATTCAACACCGTAGGCCGGAAAACCGGCCAAGACGTCACGAGTCCCCAGACACCGTCGCATCAAAGTGATCTAAAAATTTTAGGAACCTAACTAACATATGATTCTTTATCAAATCTTTCACTTTTCCCCATGTCTGAAAACACTTATTAAATTTCAAATGACCATATGTTATCGACAGGATTAGAATTATAAACTATTTTTCGAAATGTTATTGAAAAAAAACCAATTCTCGCACACATGCTTCAGCAAAGAGCAAAGTAACGATGTTTCGAGAAAGTAATTCAATAAACTGAAGAATAAATTCCACAACAGTACTCATAAAAGTTTGTCAAACGTACATTATAACTTACTATTTCCATCTTTTTGAGCCATCGTGTATTGTAATTCAAGTGACATCTCGGCTTTCATCGCCTCGAACTTCACGCTCGAACACGATGTTTAATTCTGAAATATATGCATGAAGCATTTTTGTCACAGGACATAACCTTGCACGATACGTCCACCAAGTTCCATAATATACGTATAGGTGGTGATTTATTGGCTGCCTTAGGTCACGTGTACGATTTTGACCAATCACGATACTTATATTAGACTGCGGCGAAAAAGCATCATTAGAAACCAATTTTTATCCAATAAAATCGCTTCTTACAACTGTGGAAATACTCATTGCAAGGGTACAGTGATGTTGTTGATGTTCAGAGTTTTCGAACGATACCCACCATCAAACAAATCGCCTCGCATGCTATTCATACGAAGCCTCAAAAACCGAGGTATTTCCCACTGTTGTATCACGTTACCGAGCAGAAGTCACTGATATCGGGAAATAGACTACCATACATATTATTTGAGAAATCTTTTAAAATAATTTTAGGATTAGGTAAAAATGAAAATATAAAAGAAAAGGTATGGGGATATTATGACATATTACTAATGGAAACAATTGCCGCATTTTTTGCTCCCTTCATGGTTTGTCTGGACATTATAAATGTTTAAGCTTGCATTTTCATTAAAAATTAAGTTAATTACGTTGTAGTTGGATTATTTGTATAATATGATCAAAAATAAATTTCATCTTTATAAACAGTAGGATTAGACCTTTCAAATGGTGTATGATATGTAGTAAGCACTAATGGTTTACAAGCTGATATTTTCCTTGATAAACATAGGCTCCATTTATGACCTCAGAGTCTCTGGGAACTCGGGGTCAAGGCAGTAAAAGCCAAGTTCAAGTTTTCACAATATTTAGGTGGGCATGGAAAAGATTCATGTACAAGACAACTTTGATGTTAATAATTGGAATTTGACAAGACCTAGTTTGGGTTGTAGTAAACTATCTTTTCACCAGGTAATAATGTTAGCACTTTGAGCATACACTTTGTTTATGGAAGTTGCACAATTATAAGTACATACATTATTTTTTATTATTATATGGAGACCGAATCAATATGATGAGATTGGAGGCCAGAGTTATTTAACTTGAAGTGCTCAGAATTCTGTTAGCAAGGAAGCTAAGGGGCATGGTACTTTGTTTTAAGATTGATCCATCTTCAACAAGTGATGTCGACGTTCACCTGTTAAGGTCAATGGCTTAGAATTACTTTGCAAGGGTCTACCCATACAAAAAGTTTGTGCATATAAAGTTATACAATGAATACAAAATGAGCAGACATACTTGACTAGAGGTGAAAAACTAACATGTTTGTTGTGAAGTTCTCAATTGCATGTGCACACTGATGAGTCTTGATGAAGCCGAGTATTCATCAAGACCAATCCAGTGGTTTACCTGTAGCTTCATTATTGCATGTTGCCTGTGTGTTGTCTTGCAGACAGACATTGAACAAGTTGAAATAGAGCCAGAGACAGTAGATAATGTCACTGAGAATGAGGTTGAAACAGAAACTGAAATTGAAAATACTTCTGGGCAAGAATTGGTGGAACCAGAGGTAATTTTGTATTTTAGATATTCTTTTTCTGATCTTATAATCCCATATTCATTAAAATGATAATTTAATGGTGACATCTGCTGTCAAGGCCCATTGACACAGCTTGAACAACTACTTATATTTGTTGTAATGTTTGCGATGTCTGACCTTTAATAGTTAAATCTGATGTGCTGTTTTCATGATAATGTGTAATGTTTACTTTCTATAACAATAGATCTGGTAATATTTAGTACTTAAATTGTAATCTGTTGTAAACCAAAACTGTGAAAATGAAAACTTTTGAGTGACTCTCAGGGAGACTACAATGGTAGTGCAACCTTGTAAATTATCATTGCAGTAGATTGACATTCCAATGCTGGAATTCCAGTACAAGATTGTCCTGGGTGGTTTCTTCATTTGAAGAGGTGTCATTGTAATAAATAGAGCTAAAGCGGTTTTATTTAAATTCAGGTAAACAGTAATTCCATTCTGATGTGTTGTTTTCCAGGAAGCCAATGAAGCTGATGTAATTGATGTGTCAGAGGCTGTGGATGAGGAAGGTAAGTTTGTGTTAGGAGGATAGGTTCAAATAGAAGAATATTAAATAGTCTTCTTAAAATAGCGAAATTTGATCTTTACCCGAAGATTGACAGATAAATTTTGTTGTAGTCTTTGTAAAAGAAGAAGAAAAGAATTTAAAAGAGTATTATTACAACCTCTTTTTAATGATAGTGTGGTCTTTAAATTGAGATTTAAATATTTCCACTCATTATATAGTATTGGCTATGGATGGAACAAGGCATTCTTACTGTACCATCCGTTCTGGTATTTCGTTTTATCATTGCACTTTGGCAAACCTGGACGCCAGCATGCCCGATGGATATTTTGTCAAGTATACAGTTTGTATTACTATGTATGAAGAAACAGTTACATCACTTGGACAGAGTGAAGCCTTGATGTTGTGAGGAAGACTTCATGGGACATCTTGCCACTGTGATATTTGTTATGGATTTGACATTAAGAAACATCAGACATGGACACATCTTTGTAAAGAAATAGATGCTGTGATGAAGACTGGTAATACTGCCTGGACGGGTCCTGAACGACATTATAGAAGGATGTCGTGTCTGTGAATCAACTGATGTTCCAAGACCAAAGTGTTGATGGCAAAGACTGATAGCACTATTCTTCTACCTTCTCAAGACATTTGATTCAACAGAAGGGAAGTTACTAGTGAACGAACATTTCATGGTTTCCTTGTGGACTTCTGCAAAGCACTCATCAGTAGTTAGTTTATCATAATTATGTTAGTTACTTTTTACTAAACTGACGCAAATCTCATATTGCAAGGTGAGTATGAATTTTAATATCAAATGGACGTTGTGTGATGTGGTCTAAATTTGTTTTAACTTAAAAATTTCTCTAGCCCCACAAGATGAAGGTGAAATGGCGATGGATGTCGGCCAGGATGATGCCATAGTAGACTTGGATGAGGAATTTATAGGGGATGGTGAGGGAACAGTTGAAGGGGAAATTGAAATGAACGAAGCCGAAGGTGAAGCTGCCCCAGAAGATGATGCAGATCCTGAGATGGAGACTGAAATTATAGACGAAACTGAACCGGAGGCTGAAGCCGAGCCAGAGGAAGAAGAGGCTGCAGAACAGACAGAGGTTGTAACTGTTCCTGAGGTCAACCAGGTTCCTGCTCCTGTTCCTGCCCCATCCCCTACAAAATCCACTACACCAGCAAAGACCAAGGCCACTACCCCAGCAGCTAAAGCGACACCTGCACCTAAAACTACGCCAAAAGCAGTTGCAGCAAAAACTGCACCCAAGACGGCAACAGCAAAGTCAACGCCTGCAAAGACACCTGGAGCAAAGTCAGCAGCAAAATCCCCTGCAGCGAAACCAGCAGTCACACCTAAAACTGCAGCAGCAGACAAACCTACGACACCAGTAAAGACATCGGCTGCCCCAAAGGCCCAAACCAAGACTGCAACCCGATCATCCTCACCAAGAGTAGCTGCAGCTAAGGCATCAACTGCAACACCCAAATCTGCAGATGCAACAACACCATCAGCAGCAGCAGCAACAACAGCAAAGGACTCTTCTAAGGATGAAATCACCCTATTTGAACCAACGGATGATTCTTTTGATGTGCGTGTGGATGACACTCAAGTGAATGAGATTGATGCAGATCTGAAAGATGAAAAAGGAGGCGAGAAGGCTGCTGGTGCTGATGCCACGGCAAGTGAAGAGGCCAAAGGAGATGCAGGCGAGGCTGTCAAAGTGAAGACTGAGGACAAAACTAAGCCAGCTGACAAAAAGGATGAGAAGAAACCTGAAGATAAAAAAGAAGATGCAAAACCTGCCAAGAGGTTGGTTTGGTTTGTATTGATGTCTTCTTGATCATGCTAAAGTCTTCAAGATCGCTCAGCTTTCACTTTCCATAACGACCAGATGAAAGAGATTGTCATTGAATTGAGCTGCTTCAGTTATGTTGAAGTTAGCTTACACCAATGAGTTAAGGTATTCTTTTGCATTAGCTGTCCTCCTTTAGACGCTTTTAAGTTTCTGGTGTTTCACCTTTCCCTTGAACCAGGATGTAAAACAGCAACACAGCTCAAGTTAAAAAATAGTGTCTATTAAGAGAATTAAATTCAGAGCCATCAATTTCTGTTAATTTACAAAAGAGAAAAAAACTATTTGTAAAATGAAGAAATTGAAGAATGAACTAAGCATGTCGGTCGTCTGAAGCAAGCATGAGCAAGTCTTTGTCAAGGTGACAGCAGAAAACCAGCTTTTAATGTCATCAGATTTGGTTTCCATCCCTAGGAATGATGTCTGTCTGCACACGGTTCCCTTTGCTTTCATTCAGTGTTATTGTCCGGTGCTCACCATGAAGGGATTTTATTAGTTTTCTTCCCTTTAATGATAAAAACTCTTCCTCTTCATTTACTAATTTACATCAGTGAATCAGCCATTGATTTTACTTTGGGAAAGGTTCATGGTCAGTAAATAAAATCAGGAAAGTCTGTTTGACCTGAGGTTGAAGGTGATTTGTTTTGATATTATCCTAGTGTGATCAGCATAATGTTCAGAGTAAATTGGTCTGTAATATGAAACTATATTTATTGGCAGGAAGTTCTTGTCAAACCCGAGAATTTCATGACATGTTTAAAGCTTGTGTTCATGTTACCAAAACAGTGAATCAAATGTATACTATATATTCTTGGAAGAATACAGCAAAAATCTTTCGCAAAGTTAAAACTAAGAGGTTTTCAAGACATTTCTGATTTGACATTATTTTCTTTCAAAATCCTTTGCAACTTCCTTCTGTATACATTTCACTTGTCATTCTGTCATGTTATCATTTTCAACGTGGATTCCCCACTTTTATCTTTTGTAGTTCCGAGGGCAAGGAAGGCAAGGAGAAAGAGACAAAGAGTAAGTGTGTTCATTCTTGTTAACAAAGAAGGGTTTAAGTAACAAATTATTGAATAGTTCAATTACAATTAAAATTCAAGGAAATTGTTAAAATAGGTGTTAATAACCATGAAATTCAATTTCATTACCCAGGCAGCCAGCATAGTCGCAACCTGTGGGTGAGTGGCCTGGCTTCGTCAACTAGAGCCACAGATCTCAAGTCACTTTTCAGCAAATATGGGAAGGTGAGGTTATTACATTTTTGTAGTATGAAATATCACTGAATAGTGAAGAAAAAAGCCTCTTTTTTATTTCATTGCAAATGAAAAGGTTGTGTATACACTTGGTGATGTGCTTTATTCTGGACCACTTTAGAGACTGGGTAGAACAAGTTGCATCACTTTTGAAGGTTTTTGCAGAGAAGGTGATCACTTTCAACACATGATCACTTTACAGACAGTGATATACAGTGTATGACAGTATACAGGGTACATTGGAGGTCATTGCTATTGATCATCTGTGCCAGGTGTGGAAATAACCCATTGCCCGACGCCCGAGTCCAGTGTTTTTTTTCTGTCGGGCAAGCATATTTATCTATCACACTGTATCGGTGTCCAGTTGACTTTCCAATGTTAACTATGTTGTTTATTTAAAAAATCAACAAGAAAATCGGCCAGTATAGTGGAAAAATTATCAGGGCAAGTGATTTTACATGTGCCACTGTACCAGAGCACACTAGCAATTTTAAAGTTATTTCAGCCCTGCTGTGCCATCAATAAATCTGGAGCAAAGTATTGCAACACTAGGTTTTGGGGAAGTTTGCCACTCTTTTTAATTCTGACAAAACAAATGACATCTAAATTCATGTTTTGGTGTTGCATGATAGCACTTTCCATCCTGAAACTAATCTGCTGTTGCAGTACTTATTCCAGATGTATATTTTTCTGCAGGACCTTTCATGAGATTTCCTGCATGTTAATGGCAGCCATTGATAGTGCACCATGAAGCAATATTTACTGTCTCCCTCTGTCCGACTAAAAAGGAACACCATTATGAAAATGTTATTCTACCCTTGTAGGTTATTGGAGCCAAGGTTGTGACCAACGCTCGCAGTCCAGGCTCACGATGCTATGGATTTGTGACGATGTCAACCGCAGAAGAGGCCTCTAAGTGTATTCAGCACTTGCATCGGACTGAACTGCATGGGAAGATGATATCTGTGGAAAGGGTATAGTGTACACAGTATTTTGAAGCTTAATATTCTCAGTATTTCTTCTTTGCATTTCTGGTTTAAGTGTAAAAACCTGTGTGCACACGCTGAAAAGTGGTGTAGTTTACATCTACTCAACATTTTTGATAGCAGAAATGTAAAGACAGTTATGTTTGAAGAAATAAGTCAATCTGGAAATGGTAGTCTGATAGTGTTCGGCTCCTACCGGTTTAAGTTTTCAGAAGCATCATAAATGAAAAATAATAATCACTTGGTTAAACAATCAAATGACATGAAGTCAATGGCAATTTATATATTTTAAAATAGCCTAATACTCCTATCAAGAGTTGTAGTGTACCTCCTCTATTTTACTAGGCAAAGAATGAACCAGGTGGACCCAGCAAGGCAGCTTTACTAAAGAAGGCAGAAGACAAGAAACCAGCTGGTAGGTATTGATAATTGTCCATAGCATTGACTATTTCCTGTTTAGTTTTTATTGGTGATATGTACCAATGTATTAAGGTTGGTAGCAAATCAAAGCTACACTCACCTTAAAGCTTTTTTGTTGTCAGACAAGAAGGAGGCAGAGAAGAAAGATGGTGAAAAGAAGGTAGAGAAGAAAGTTGAAAGGAAGGCTGACAACAGAGACAATCGGTCCAATAGACGTCCACATCATGATGAACGTGCTAGAAGAGAAGCTAGACGCCCAGAGAAGAAACATAATGATAAACAAACATCTTCCACAGATGCCAAGAGACATCCAACAACATCTCCTAAATCAGCAGGTTTGTTGTGTATCAGACATTGATCTGAATGTTTTCAGTATAAAAGGTGACCAAAGGTGTTTTGCTCATGCCCTAAGTTGAGCAGTTCCTAAGGAATACAGTATGTCATAGTTTCTGATCAATGTCAATGATGCAACAAGATTGAGAAAATGCAAGCCAAAAGGGCATGGCTAGTACATGTTGTTCTTTAATCAGGTAATACATAAAATGCAGTGATTAACTGCCATGCATTCATCCAAACAGTGAAAAAAACAAATTCAGTTACAAGGCCTTGATTTTGGATGACAGATTTGCGACTATATTTTTGTCAGTAGTATAGTTGTAATACACATTCATGTTCGTAACACCAAATAATATCTTCAGCAGAGAAGAAGAAAGCCGAAGAGAAAAAAGATGAGAAACCAAAAGAAAAGGCGGTAAAGACAGAAGAGGGAGTAGAGAAGAAAGAGGAAGGCGGAGAAAAGGATGAAAAGAAGTCTGAATCAGGCAGATCCCAGTCCAAGGATCCTAAAGATATACTTTCCTTTGAGAAGATCAAGGTACAGCTTGTCAAAATTTTCATCTTTGTCTTGTTTCGTTTCCAGCAAGTAGTTCTAGAAATCAAGCAGTCACTTATTTAATAACACCTGAAAAGGTGAAACTATATCTAGATACATTTGAAATGTGATTGATTCAGAAACATGTATGATGCATTTCATGATCTCTTCTCCAGGCTGAGCGGGAACGAGAACGTCTCCGACAAAAAGAGCGTGCTCTGCGTGATGAGGAAAGGAGGAGACTGTCTGAAATTGAGAGACAACGAACAAGACAGAAGCAGATTCACTTACGTCAGCGAGAAGAAGCTATTCGACTTGAACGGGAAAAAGATAGACTGAGGTATATCAAAATAGTGCATGGAATAAAAGTGTGAGATCTTAGTGTTTCAGTCAGTGTCTACATATCATTAATAAACAGCCTATTTGCATAAACCAAATGATGCCTTTCCCACTTTGAATAAACCTAATATAATGTGTTGATCTGTTAATACAGACTAGAGCGAGAAAAGCTTGAACGAGAACGTATTGAAACAGAAAGACTGCGTCTGGAACGTGAAAGACTAGAGAGGGAGAGACTAGAACAACTCAGGCTTGAGCAACGAAGGTGAGGAAGAGTTGACAATCAACTATGTTAGTGTAGAAACATTGGAAACATCAAAAGAATGAAGTGTTCACTTTATTAATGCTTTCATCACCAAACAGAAATGGTGGTGAAGAGAGTACCACTATTCTTGCATGTAATGCAAACATGAAACTGTTTTCCTGGAGAAAATGAGTAATATTTGGGGGCCAAATGAAGAACATTTTGTTGATTGTAACTTACAGATTAGATGACCAGCGAAGAGCAGCCAAAAGACCATTTGACAGTCGTGGTAGTCGCCATGATGATGACTACTGGAGCAGCCCCCCTAAACGATCCATGTCTGACAGATTGGATAATTATGGGGATTCTAGGTAAGGAATTCAGGCGTCAGTCTGTATATGTGATATTTACATCCGTGTATGTCCTCTTGAAAGTGTTACTCTGGTGAGTGAGTGGTTTTCAGTTCTCAACAGTCACAACTTTAATTGTTTTTCAGACGTGAGAATCGTTTTGACCGAAGTGCTAATACGGACAGGAAGGTGGAGCGATATGACAGGCGAGACAGTCGTACTGCAGACACTCGTGGTTCTAACAGGGGACGCATTGAAGACCGAAATGACAGAAGGGATATGCCAGTGCAGCATGGACGTGATAGGGAAGAACGGCATGGAAGTGGCTTTGGAGAAGCCCAGAGGTACTTGTGGCTTTATTACAAAATACAAAAAGTGGGGTGATAGACTCAGTGCAGCCTTGCTGACTGTGTTATTGAATTGAGGCCTAAATTGTTGGAACAGTGAACCATTGATTTGACATGATAGGTGTTTACAAGGACATAGTTGGAATATAGCTGAAAACATGTCATCCCTCAAAGTAGGATAATCCTCATGAAGCTTATGCTTGACATGTTTTTGCCAACCAGAAAATGTAAATTAATTTGTGATTTTCTTGGGTATGAAGTATTTTTCATCTGTGTATATCTTGGCTACACCAGAAACCTGTGTGTATTTCATGGGTTGAATTTATTTGACATTATTTTGTAACCAACTTGTGAGAATTAGCATATGATCAGATCCAGATCAATAATTATTCCGAAAAACGGGGGTATCTGTAAATATATGTGGATCTACTTAAGGATAATGTGGGTTTGTGAGCATCTACCTATCTTCAGATATTCTGAAACTAGAAACACCAGAGATGACAGACGAGACACGCGAGACACACGGACACACAACCGCCAGGAAGAGAATAGACGAGATTTCAACAAAGGTCGAGATGATGACAGACGGAACACGAGATTGCCTCAGCGCCATGATTCTCGCAGTGACTGGAAATCAGATAGAGGTAAGAATAAGAACAAAAGATTTGGAAAGAATTCCCAAATTATCCCCTAATCTCGCTGATTTTAACCCATTCAATGCCGGAAAACCAGCCAAGACATCACGAGTCCCCAGACACCGTAGGCCGGAAAACCAGCCAGGCAGTAGTCGCATCAAAATGATACATAATTTTAGGAACATAACTAACATATGATTCATTTATCAAATCTGTCGCTTTTCATAATGCCTGAAAATACTTATTACATTTCAAATGGCCATATATAATCGACAGAATTAGAATTATGAACTATTTTTTGCAATGTTATTGAAAACAAATGATTCTCTACACATGCTTCGGGCAATGAGTTGTCAAAGACCAAAGTAACGATGTTTCGAGGTAATAATTACACAAATTGAATAAACGGAAGAATAAAATCAACAACAGTACTCATAAAAGTTGTCAAATGTACGTTACAACTTACTATTTCCATCTTTATTGTGCGATTGTGTAATGTAATTCAAGTGACATCTCGGCTTTCGTCGCTTCAAACTTTACGCTCGGACACGATGTTTAATTCTGAAATATATGCATTAAACTTTCTTGTCACAGGTCATAACCTAGCACGATACGTCCACTAAGTTCCATAATATACGCATAGATTGTGATTTTTTGTGAACATGTTCAGAATAGTATGATTTTACACAAAACTTTTGTCTGAACCTGACGACAGTATCCATTGCTGTTATCTGATTGGCTGCCTTAGGTCAAGTGTCTGATTTTGACCAATCACAACCCTTATAGCAGACTGGCGAAAAAAGCGTCATTAGAAACCAATCTTTATCCAATAAAATCGCTTCTTACAACTGTGAAAATACTCTCGGCAAGAGTATATTGATATTGTTGATGGTCAGAGCTTTCGAACGATACCAGACATCAAACGATTCGCCTGGCATGTTATTCATACGAAGCTTTGAAAACTGGTATTTTCCGTTGTGTCATGTTACCGAGCGGAAAGCAACTGATATCGGGAAATAGGCGACCATACATATTATTTAAGAAATCTTTTTATAATAATTTTCTGATTACGTAAAAATGAAAATATATAAGAAAAAGGCATGTGCGTGTTATGACATGTCACAAATGGAAAAAAAATCACCTCATTTTTTGCTTTCTTCGTGGTTTATCTGGACATATAAATGTGTAAGCTTGCATTTTCATTAAAAATTAACTTCTTTAAGTTGTTGTATTACTAGAATAAAATGATAAAAATAACTTTCATATTTATAAACAGTAGGATTAGACTTTTCAAATGGTGTATGATATGTAGTAGTTATAATGATTTACGAGCTGATATTTTCATTGATAAACATAGGCTTCATCTATGACCTGAGAGTCTCTGGGAACTTGGTGTCATGGCAGTAAATGCCTCTGGTTGACTGGTGTTGAAAGAGTTAAAGTAAAGATGAACATGTCGCTTAGTTTGTTTGAAGTTAAATCAATCCAATGTCAGATTTGTCTTCTGAAATTTTCTTTGTGATTATCACTCATTACTCTCTACACATGAAAGCACATTTTGTGTGACGGTGATAGTTGTATTTTTCAAATTTAAATTTTGTAGTCTTCCAGGTGTTTTTTTGTATTTTTTAGTCGACACCTTATTCGTCCGCCCGTAATCATTGTTTCCAGAGCATAACTAAAAAAAATTAAAATATTTTTCTGCAAAAATTGGTAAATATATCATAACAGAACCTATAATGGTGCCTTTTGCTATTTACAGATTTTTGTGATATCATATTTTCTCGGTTTCCATTGAAACGATTCAGACTTTGTCTCAAGAGGGAGGGGTGGGTTTCGTTTCCAGACTACAATGTGAAAACTTCTTAATATCTTTCAGCAAAACTTGGCAGATATGTTAGGCAGATCCCAAATTTGCAGATTTTTGACATTTTTATTTTTCTTGGTTTCCATGGAACGAATCGGGCTTAGTCTCATAAGGGAGGGGTGGGCCTCGTTTCCGGAGCACAACTCGAAAACCGTTTCATATCTTTCAACAGAACTCGGCAGATATGAGGCAGATCTTGAAGTGGTGCCTTTTGCTATTTACAGATTTTTGTGATTTCTTATTTTTTCGGTTTCTATGGTGCCATTAGGCCTTAGTCTAAAAAACTTCAGCTGGACTTGAAGTAATTGTCAGATTTGTTCTTTCAAATATGTGGGGGCCGGGGGGAGATGTGATCTTCTGATGACTCTTGTTTGAAATTCAAAGCGGGTGTCGTGTTTTGTATTTCAGCTTTTCGATTTGAGTTGAAAATGGCTTGAGGGCTGTATCTCAGCTGTGAGATAGTCAACATGTAGTTCCTTTTTGTCCCCCGCGGCGTGTTTTGAGGGGGGTATGAAAATGGACTTCGTCCGTGTGTGCGTCAGTGCACATTTGTCGTTTCCGGAGTATAACTCTAAAACCGTTCGATATTTCTACACCAAACTTGGCACATAGATAGATCTGGTGGTCTACTAGTGCCTTTTGGTAGTTTTGGATTTCTGAATAAAATATTTTTTGCATTTCCATGGCAACAAGTTTGACAGACTGAAATTGGTGCTAGTGCTCTTTTCCGGAGCATAACTTTAAAACCATTCACTATTTCTTCACCAAACTTGGCACATAGACAGATCTGGTGGTCTACTAGTGCCTTTTGGTAGTTTTGGATTCTGAATAAAATATTTTTTGCATTTCCATGGCATCAAGTTTGACTTTGGCAACTTGGTGGTAGTACTCTTTTCCGGAGCAAAGCATAAAAACTGTTCACTCACAGTGTTCATCACCAAATTTCATACATAGGTAGGCCTAGTGGTGAACTGGTGCCTTTCGGTAGTTTTGGATTTCTGAATAAAATGGGTTTTTGTGTTTCCATGGCAACAATTTTGGCTTCAACTGAATTTGGTGGTAGTGATCCTTTCTTGAGCAGAACTTTGAAACTTTTCAGTACTCTCCTTCGACTTGTAGTTTGGCATGAAATGCATGTGGACCCGTTTTTTTGTAAATATCTCTTCATCCATTTACCCAATCGATCTCAAACTGTGCAAGTGGATGTTTTGTCAGACAACCTAATCACATTGTAAATCACCGATTTTATGAATTTGTATTAAAGAATCTGTCTATGTAACTGTCAACAAAATAGCTATATACACGCCAAAACATTTGACATAATCATAACTCGTAGACATATTCATGAAGAGTATTTTGCCATTGAGGGGGATATTGATGACTTTGTCTTCTTGTTCATGTGAGAGAGGGAATGTTATACTTTATTTACACATTAAAATCTTGTAACAGTATTAAAATGAGCATTTATGTTAACAGACACAAGGGTGGTTGTAGCAAGTGGACGTGACACCTGGCAAGGACAGAGTGGCTCTGGGGTGCAAGATGACAGACGTAGCAAGAATTTTAATTCTGGATCTGGTATGATGTCAAGTGAGTTTTTCCATATTTTCATTGTCTCGACTTGCAATCTTGCACAGATCAAAGATTAGCCTGCTCAACTATTGAAACAGTTGTCATATATATGATTAATTACTTTCTACAGATGGTGCTAATTCCAATCAGCGACAGTCGTGGGGAAATAACAGTGATCGTAGCAAGATAGACCAGTCCTGGGGCCATGGTGTTGTGGACAACTCTGGGCCCCGGGGAGGAGGCGGTGACCGGTGGATGGGTGGAGTACAGAGTACACATAGTGACCGAGGAGGAGGATTCAAACATTGGGGGGAGTGGGGGTCTGATGAACAACATTGGGGGACCAGGACTGTACATGGCTACCACCCCACAAAACCCAAACCTCATGATGATGGGCAGCATAACCAGACAACCAGAGGCACGCTACTTGCAACAAGGAACACTTCGAAGATTCTAAATGGAATGTGTCTAATGGATGGTTTGGACAGGGGGTGTGCTCGCAGATCGTGTTCATATATGATAAATAGCATTTCTAACAAATCTACTAAGTCTTTATCCAGGAATCTTACAAGTTTCCACATTTGGTGATATTGTGAAAAGTACTAGTATATGAATGCCTTGAAAATTGACCATACAATATATGGCTGCCTATTTCATGATCATTGTGCATACGAAATTCTATTCAGTTTGATGTTTCATGTTATGTGTTTACAACAGCTACACAATAATGGACTTGATTCACCAATCATTGAAAACATACACGCACATTTTGTCAAGGCACAGTGATTCCGTGGAACTTATAATAATTTGCTTTTGAGTGTAAGTTACCAGAATTTAGAGTCTTTTTATTCAGCTTTTGTACAGATGTGAATTGTATGTCCAACTATGTCCACATTTTATTTGTATATGACCATTCTTCAGCTGTCTGCAACAGATTTCACATTATTTTTGTCCATCTGGAAAGAAATCATAATATTTTATTAATTGTTATACCTATTATCAAGTCTCAACATTTTAGGTGATTTATTTTATGATGTTAAAATGTTGTTTGATCAGCTCTTTCCAGTCATCCAATAAATTCTCTTATTGTATATCCATGTTTTTGTTATAACTAGAACTGATGGATGAAACTACATATTTGCACTGCACTTGATGTCCTTCATTTGGAAATGGATGTGGAATTGTACTTTTCGTTACCATCAAGAAATCATTATATATTTCCTCATTTGTAAAGAACAAAAGCCATGTTTCATGCCTTATGATGAATTACTTAAATAGGCATCTGTATCAAATTCAAGGTGGTATTTGTTTTCTTTTGTTTCAAATTTTTCATTCAGTTTGGTCTTTCAGCAAAAAAACACTCCTTTCAGGCTCCACAGTGGCCTTTGAGTTTTTACGCCTTGTTAACAATCCAACCCACAGTGGCCCCTGAACACTTGACACTGAGGTGTTCCCGCTCTGGCCTCTCTTAATCCAGTCAGCTTAATTACCAACAGTGTTGGACTAATTCGGAAGTGTGGTGCTTTGAAAGAGCTCTGAGTACCATAGTATTGCATCTGCTGAACCTGTCAGTTTATTTCGTTCCTGTTCAATTTTCATATATCTGTGGAATGCTGATGAGTTCCTCTCAGGCTCTTTTCATAGGACTGACTGACCAGATGGGCAGCAGTCATTCAGACTGATGGGTGTGGCACTTCACTTTTCTATGAAGAGAATCATCAGCATCAGTAATAGTTGCCAGACAACCTGTCTGAGGTCAATGCCATGCCACTGTACCATTCTTGTTTTGCTTCTTGTACCTAAGGGGCGGTGGGGTAGCCTAGTGGTTAAAGCGTTGGCTCGTCACGCCGAAGACCCGGGTTCGATTCCCCACATGGGCACAATGTGTTCAGCCCATTTCTGGTGTCCCCCGCCGTGATATTGCTGGAATATTGCTAAAAGCGGCGTAAAACTAAACTCAGTCATTCTTGTACCTAAAACCCTCCATCAAAATATCAAGTTCATTTTGCCTATCAGGTACAATCCCTTCCTTTAGAGCCATGCCTGATATGACTAACATTCACCCAGAAGTCTACTTATAGCAAAACTACAAGAAAGGATAAACACACACAAAATAGATGAAGAAAAATATTACACAAACTTCCTCCTCGACAAACTGAGAAATCAGACCAGCCACTAACATTAATATTAAAGATAAGTTATTACACAAGCCGTTAATGGTAACCAGATTCACACTTTGTACTCTGAAGCATCAGCAGTCACCTTCTACTCAGTAGCAGATAAACTCTGCTTTGACAACTGCGTTGACACCGTTAACGAGTTGTCCCGGAGTGGACCCTCTTTTTGGTTATTAAGTAAGACAAAGAGGCCACTCTGGGAATACACTGACAGCTGTGATTATGATGAATTTGGTTTCACTTGAGTTAATGACATCCACGTGGCATGTTCACACAAGCTGACAACTAAGGCTCAGATTCCAGGGCAGAAAGTGACCCCAATATCGTGCTGCTTGTCTGTTCGGGAGAATTGAAATGTTAACAGTTCGTTGCTTTCTTCTCTTTGAAGGTATGAAAACACAATGTCATTTAGAAAGGGGTTAAGTGTTACTTAGATTATAGTTACAGTTATAAGTACAAGGGGTTGAGTCTTATCCAGGATTCGAACCCACAGTCCAATATCAGCGATCTTGCCCACTCACTGTTGCTTCAACTAATATGGCAACTGGTAGTCCAGATCATGTAATTTTGCACATCTCCCGCCAAAAGCTATTAATACACAATGACATTTAGAAATATACACATGAACATTATTCAAGCAACACCCACATGTTTTATATTGTATTAAAATGAGGCAGTGGGGTAGCCTAGTGGTTAAAGCAATCGCTCTTCGAAGGAATGGGTTCGATTCCCAACATGGGTACAGTTTTGTAAGCCCATTACTGGGGTTTTCTGCTACTGTGATGTTGCAGGAATATTGCTAAAAAGTGGCGTAAAACTATATTCACTCACTCACTATATTGCATATGCCTTGAAATCAAATCCAGCGTATTAAGATGGCAACTCTAACATTTTACTCTGATTAAAACAAAGAAAATTGATATTAGGTAACAATTTACTTGCAGTCTGCCAGAATACACAAAACAAGTGAACATCAACAATGCTGGAAAGTATGGTCATCATGACTCCTTTCCCATTCTAAGTTCAGTTCTCAGTTCTTATGTTGTGTTTATTATGATTGTTTAAACCACTACTTTTGACATCAGCACCTGCCGTAGCCTCTCCCGCAGGGATAACATCTGGCGTTCTCATCCTGGCAGTCAAATGCTCCGCATGGAATCCGATGCAATTCCTCAAGGAGTGCCTTGAGTTTGAACGGGAAGATAACTAGCGATAACCCCATAGAATTGTGTATGTTGTACTCATTATTATTCCAGCTATAAGGTGCCGGTCAGTAAATAGTGGAGTCTTGACCAGACAATTCAGTGATCAGCATCATGAGCATCGATATGATGACGTGTCAACCAAGTCAGCGAGCCTGACGTTAGTCGCCACTTAAGATAAGCATGGGTTCCTGAAGATCAATTCTAACCGGGGGCCCTACGGGTCTTGGTAGTCTTTCGCTGGCTTTGTTTTGCAAATGGACGATGACGGCTCGAAAACGATGAGGTCCAGCGTTGTCTCTATGAATATCATGACTGACAAAGTGATGCTTATCGAAATCTGACACGGCAGTGGTATCCAGTACTTCCTGGATAATAACGAGGGAATTAGAGCGTCACAGGTGTTGCAATGAAATGCTATTTGCAGTCGTGCCATCACCGAGTTGCCACCAAAGGTTTCGGTTGGTGATATGCCTCGTTACGACGTCTCCTTAACGGGTCGTCCATAACCCTACGCCATGTCTTCAAGTTTCTGTGTTCTCGAAGCCAGCACCACGCCAGAAGTTCCTGCCTGTGCCAATGTCTGAAGAAGGGACGTCTGATAGAACTAACCTCTCACCATCAGTCTGCAGCCTACTCTAGACGATACTGGTGGCTTGGGTCAAGGAATTGCGTCTTGACAGATGACTCCGTCGTCAGTCACGGTCATTGGTCTTCCATGTTTCTTGCGATCCTTGACTTGACTGGTGGCCACGTGTATCCTCACAATAATCGTGTCATTTCTATTCCAAGTTAGCCCCGATGTTGCGACAGGGCATCCCTGTGCAATGCATGTCAGTCACTTACTATCATGTATTTTCTCCATTTTGTCATATCGGGACAAGTTCATTTTCATCATTGTCATCTTTAAAATCAGTTCAGAAAACTTTAGTGCACATACTGCAATTATAAGATTTATACCAAAATGTGTATAGCTCTTTCGCAGCACGTGAACATGCAAACCACAGCTTTTGTGATACTGTGCGAAGCACGTGTTTTGCATGTGCATTCCCGTATTGTAGGGTATTATTATTATTGGATATTTTTATAGCGCACATATCCACGCATTGGTGCATGCTCCAGGCGCTGGTATTTTTTCCCTCGATCATTGGATGTCAGTCTCAACAGCACATCTTATCAATCTCAACTCCCTGGGGAGCTCTTGTTGCCACAAGGCGCACCGAGTTATTGCGTCTTTCGCATCCTTAGGAGGTACCAATTCACAGCTGGGTGGACTGGGACACATAGTCACAGTACTTTGTCCAAGTTTACTGCACATTGCTGTACCCGCAACGAGGTGTCTGGACGTATTCATGTGGTCACCATCTGGCCATATACCAACGGATTCGTGGGTTCTTTTAAATGCACAGGGTTGTGTACTGTACACTAGGGGTTGTGACAACACTGAAAGAGTCTGCACACAAAGTTGACTCCAAGGTTTTTACACCCGGTCACAGGAGGGCTCGATCCCGGCACCTCATGCCCACTGGATCACTCGCCTGGCGCCTTAGCCAGCTCGCCCACCACGCCCCCAGGGTATGATCGCCTGTTTGGATCAAAGGTTAATAATGCTTTTGGATTCAGGCGGGGATAAATACTCATACATTATATTTATGTTTGCCTGTTCACATTTGATTGTTTACAGGTTGCAGCTTAAAACAATATCGTAACCTCACTTCACAGGGCTGTGGTAAAGCCTGATGGTAAAGGGCTCAGCCATGACACCAGAGTCCTACGTCTGAACTGCTACATGAGTACAATGGGTGAGACCTGTGTCCTCACTCCCCAGCCATGATGGAATGATGCTGAAAGCTGCTTTATTACCTACAAGGGCGAACATCTCTGGGTTCATAATTTTCATACGATGCCCTAGGGCAAAATATCACTTTGTCATGACGACGTGACGTCATGAACAATGCTATGACGTCACGTTTCTTCTGCGACGTTGCGTTCTACATGCGGCGACGACGGGTAGCCAGCCTATGTTTGACAGTAGATTTGGGTTTATTTTCCTCAATTTGACGACTTCGGTATTAAACAGAATCCTATATGAGTGCCCATATCACTCCCTCGGGAAATACCAAACTTTAGGCATGCGTGTCGTGTCGTAAACATAGTATGACATGGGCACTCATATATAATATCCTCTATTTATTACCTAAAACTGTGTTCAACAGGAGATATTGCTTGTGTGAGATCAAACGATCTATCTCCTAGGAGATATCATTTTGAGATTTTGTACGAAGCCCTGACTATGCTATGACGTCATGAACTTGATGACGTCACAACGCTATGACATCCTGGCACTATAAGTCTAATGGCAGAACCGTGTTCAAAGATGTACATTTTTCTTTGATAAAAAATGAAGAGTGATTTTTTATGATAAATAGAATCTCACCCTCGTGTCTTCTGATATCAAATATATCAACATTTGTAACTTTATCAACTCGTGGTGATACATTTGATATCAAAAGACGATCGGGTGAGATTCTCTATATACACCCAATTTACTTATGGTGCAAACACATTAAATAAGGGATTCTTGAAACTTTGCTGACTGTTACTGGCAAACAAGGATCAGTTGAGCACCGACCTGACAACTGACCCATATTAGCATGTATGAGTGCCGCCCACTGGCGCTTGCCATTGTTAGCGAAGGGGCCCCAGGTTGTTTGCGATCAAGTGTAGTGCGACTTATTACACCGACGTGAGAGTTATGAGCAAGGTGTGTGCAGCTGCGCGCGGAATCAATTTCATTGTCATGTAATGCACGTGCACTAGCCTACACCTGCTCTACCTTTCACAAACCGAATGGGTTTGCTCATTGCCGTGCACCGCCTACTTCTCGTAAACGTGTTCTCTGTGCCGTTCCAACTTATCTTTGTTTGCCAGTAGGTGTAAAAACACATAAAGTAGATCAATTTATGTTTAGGCTTTCATATTGAAGATGCTTAAAAACACATACTTCTACTGAACCGCGTCTTCTCATACCATAACGCGGGAATTCGATGTGAGCCCTCTATCACGTGGTCACCCGAAAGTAAGAGCAAGTGCCCTTTCAGTATATTGTCAATGTATGGACAAAATTTCAACCAGACAAAGGCATCACAAGTATCCAGAAGATGCTGGAAGGAAGAGTAATGATTCTAAGCGCCTCCAGATGATAGACACTTTGAGTAAGAGTATAAGGCTTCTAAATGCAAACGATCAACCAAACAGATCACGTCCTTGGTACATGTCAAATCTTGGTACACTCACACCACTCAAAGATGTAACCATCGGAGGGAAGCTACAGTTACATCACGACAGCCTGTATGAACACAGACATGTAGAATTAGATGGTCTTACCCAGCCTCCATCATCTGACCCGTCAATACAATGGTGGCTACTGCGTCACGATGTGATATACTTCTCATATTCCTTGCTCCACACAGGTGGGGGTGGACAGCCCACAAGGAAAACATTCCAGTCAGCCAAGACAGGAAGGTGCATTTCAACTTTGTGGAAATAAGCAATACAGGTATGGCAAGTAGTATGGCTGCAGTATAGGTCAAAACTTGTTATACCCGTGAAGGTCCGGGTTAGAATATTGATCTTCAGTAACCCATCCTTGTCGTAAAAGGCGACTAACGGGATCGGGTGGTCAGGCTCGCTGACTTTGTTGACACGTCATCGGTTCCCAATTGAGCAGGCCGATGCTCATGCTGCTGATCACTGGATTGTCTGGTCCAGACTCGATTATTTACAAACAGCCTCCATATAGCTGGAATATTGCTGAGTGCGGCTATAAACAACAAACAAACAAACGTTTTGTTGGCCATAGCAGGGATACTCTACAACCCTTATATAGTCTCCCTGGCCATAGTCAGTGTTTATGCGCCTCGTCCTTTCGTAGAAATACACTTATAGAACATGGGGCTGGGTCTCTGATTTGATCACCAAACACGTATAGTTGCCTGTTCGTTGCCACACAGTGGGAGGGTATGGGGTTGTTTTGGTTTTGGTATACATATATCATAGCATACATGACAGAGCAAAGCGCCAACGAAATCAAACATACTGAACTCTGAACATACCTTTCTGATGTCTTTGAATGGCATTTTATTAGAACTGATACACACATGGGAAGATTTATGGATTACTTTTTACGTACATTTTTGAGGGGGTCACTCACATTGTACATCTTTCTCCATAAAAATCATCATCACACAAAGACACACACACACAGCCATAGATTATGAACGGTCCCTGTCATTAATTTTGCGCTCCCGGTGTTTTCTCCCCTTTCAGCACTGTACGTATGCTCCTGACTTCTGTTGTCCATTGTCATCACCAGTGCCAATTAATAATTAACCACTGGCTATCCTTGTTAAGTGTCCACCTTTCTTATCATATCAATTTTAGCGTTTTCACATGTGCATTTATGGCTATCTGCTTCGTAGCTGAGGGAGTAAGAACATAGCCTGAAACGACGTGGTCTTCATGTAACAGAAGTTTCACGTCCATACTTTTCCCCTAAAATATCTCCATCTGCGCCTACTGTGGTAACACATGGCACAATTTCTACTAAACAATCAATATTTATGCACTTTGGGCTTTGTCAGAATCAAGCGTGACTTGAGAAAAATTTGTTACATTTGTATTCAGATATTAACCTATCTTAAAAATTTTTTGATTATTAAGGGCACCTGCTACATCCGGGCATATCGGTTTCATTCCGCTGTTGTACGACATGGCGTCACACGCAGATAAGAAGCTTACAGAACTGCGTGTTGCAGATTTACGCCAGGAGTTAGAGCTACGTCGTCTGGACAAGTCTGGGATAAAGGCCGTATTGTACGAAAGGCTTGCAAAGGTATGCCCTTTTTATGATTGTTTGCGGGAGCAGGAGTCGGTGTCTGACAAAGTTTCTTCCACAAACTAAACAGAGTCCTGCCTGGACTGAATGCCAGACTCTCGCGTTATTATATGACGAGAGGTTTTCCCACTTCTTAAGAATATTGGTGTGCTGAGACATTTTCCGTAGCCTAGTTGATAGACACGCTCGATGGTTGAGAGGTGTTCATTTTACGTTTGTACTGTTCTTTAATTATCTTTGAAGGGAAACCAAACTCCCAAATTTTAACTATTGAACTATGGATTGGCGTTTTCTTCGCGGAATCAAAATTGACTTATTACAGGTTATAATTTTGACTGGTTTGACATGTGTTCGCCACTATTTTCACTGCACTGCACAAAGCTATAGAGTAACGATGGAAACTGTTCGCCCACAGGATAAAGGGATAGCGTAAGGGTATTCTATAGGGTCTACGGGAAATTGTTAGTTGAGGGGTGTACATATTTAATAGCATCTCTTTGTTCGATTAGGGCATGCCAATAACATAGGGGCTACGGGTTATGGTAGGGTTGGGGGCGGGTATATTCTGTAGACACTCCTGGGTTCGGTTAGGGGCGTGCATATTCTATAGGGGGCTACGGGTTAGGTTAGGGGCGTGCATATTTTATAGGGGCTACGGGTTATGGTTAGGTTAGGGGCATGCGTATTCTATGGGGGGGGCTACGGGTTATGGTTAGATTAGGGGCGTGCATATTCTATAGGGGGCTACGGGTTATGGTTAGGTTAGGGGCGTGTATATTCAATAGGGTTTCCAGGTTCTGTTAGGGCGTGCATATTCTATATCAACTTTTATATCAGTCAATCAACTTTATTACCCTATGTTTACAAATACTTAAGAAATATATCACATTTGAGACTATGGCTTGATAAAAATCCAGCAATTATGTATTGTTAAATAATCATGTCATATTGACAGACATTATGATGGAAAGATATTTACATGTACATAGGTTTCGCAATCGCTCTATATTATGAGTCTCAAATACGGTTGACATTTTATAATAGTTACAAAATAATGCTTTAAATACGTATTTCTGGAAGCAGTAACTTTAGTACATTGAAATAAATAATGAAATTCATCTCCGATTTGGGACATGATGGACAAGATCGTTTATTTGAGGGAATATTTTCCCAGCGTCCTGTTTCAATAGGTAATTTATGGTTGGTGGTTTAAATTTAATTTAGATATTAGTGTTTTGTTCCTAATTTACGTTCCAGTATCATGATTTATTGTAGTGTGAACCATTTCCAATCTAAAATTGCTTTTGTTTTCATCTTTAATCCTTGCAAAGACACGAGGGCTTGTGCTCCAGGTTTGGTTAGGGGTGTGCACATTCAATAGAGGCGTGTACATTCTATAGGGCTACAGATCCTGGTTCGGTTAGGGCGTGCATACTCTATATGGGCTCCTGGTTCGTTAAGGGTTTCATATTCTCTAGGGGTCCTGTAGTTTCTCGTACAGGCCCTGAAGCAAATATATCCAAGAAAGCCCACACAAGTCTAGAAAATGTGGCAAGTCTAGATTTCCTCAGCTTCAGGAAAATGAAGAAAGTCTCAGGGCTCCTTTTCATTATATATATTTTGTTTACTATGAACTTTTTTCAGTAAAATATGTTCATTTCAGAGACTAGTTGTTAGTCTAGGGGTCCTGGTTCGTTAAGGGTTGCATATTCTATAGTGGGCTCCTGGTTCGTTAAGGGTTGCATATTCTATATGGGCTCCTGGTTCGTATTAAGGGTTTCGTGTTCTATAGGGGCTCCTGATTCGTTAAGGGCTGCATAGTTTATAGGGCTCCTGGTTCGTTAAGGGTTGCATTTTCTATAGGGGCTCCTATTTCGTTAAGGGTTGCATATTCTATAGGGGCTCCTGGTTGGTTAAGGGTTGCATATTCTATAGGGGCTCCTGGTTCGTTAAAGGTTTCATATTCTATAGGGGCTCCAGGTTCGTTAAGGGTTTCATATTTTATAGGGCTCCTGGTTCGTTAAGGGTTGCATATTCTATAGGGGCTCCTTGTTTGTTAAAGGTTGCATATTCTATAGGGGCCCCTTGTTTGTTAAGGGTTGCATATTCTATAGGGGCTCCTGGTTCGTTACGTGTTGCATATTCTATAGGGGCTCCTTGTTCGTTACGGGTTGCATATTCTATAGGGGCTCCTTGTTCGTTAAGGGTTTCATATTCTATAGGGGCCCCTTGTTTGTTGAGGGTTGTATATTCTATAGGGGCTCCTTGTTTGTTAAGTGTTGCATATTCTATAGGGGCTCCTTGTTTGTTAAGGGTTTCATATTCTGTAGGGGCTCCTGGTTCGTTAAGGGTTTCATATTCTATAGGGGCCCCTTGTTTGTTGAGGGTTGCATATTCTATAGGGGCTCCTTGTTTGTTAAGGGTTTCATATTCTATAGGGGCTCCTTGTTTGTTAAGTGTTGCATATTCTATAGGGGCTCCTTGTTTGTTAAGGGTTTCATATTCCATCCCAAAGCGAGCTGAATTCGACGTTCTGTTGTTTTAGACGATTGCATTGCTGGCGCTATATAGGGGGAGTACGTGCGCGATCGGTTAGCACAAGCAATTTCATCGGCAGGGCGGATGCCCAGTCTCTGTCGTGAGAAGTTTTATTGACAATTGAAAACCGGGAGTTAAGTTGTTTAAAAAAGCAAACAAACATCAATATTTTTTACCCGAGATCGTTCATACCACTTCAGATGCAAAATCAATTGCCTTTATAACAAAAAAAATAGCAAGCGAAAATTCAGTAAGATCACTCGTCTGCTGGTGACAGGCAATATTTGAATAGAAAGCCACGTTATCACAACACTCCCTCGCAGTGCGGAGCCAAAGTATGGCTCATCGTCGAACACCCATACAAATCCACGGATGTGGCGAACGGCAACAGTTTCGCCGACACGATGTCATCAACCTTATTTTTGTAGGAAACACTTGATATTTTTGTGTGAAATAGATGAATATATCCTTTATCACCCAAGGTTAGTAAAATTAAAACTTCACATCATATTACAGATAAAAAATACGTTTTTGTCTTACATCCTCGAAAACCCCTGATACCGGGATATAGGGGCTCCTTATTCGTTAAGGGTTTTATATTCTATAGGGGCTCCTTGTTTGTTAAGGTTTGCATATTCTATAGGGGTTCCTTGTTCGTTAAGGCTTGCATATTCTATAGGGGCTCCTTGTTCGTTAAGGGTTTCATATTCTCTAGGGGTCCTGTAGTCTCTCGTACAGACCCTGAAGCAAATATATCCAAGAAAGCCCTCACAAGTCTAGAAAATGTGGCAAGTCTAGATTTCCTCAGCTTCAGGAAAATGAAGAAAGTCTCAGGGCTCCTTTTCGTTATATATATTTTGTTTACTATGAACTTTTTTCAGTAAAATATGTTCATTTCAGAGACTAGTTGTTAGTCTAGGGTCCTGGTTCGTTAAGGGTTGCATATTCTATAGTGGGCTCCTGGTTCGTTAAGGGTTGCATATTCTATATGGGCCCTGGTTCGTATTAAGGGTTTCGTGTTCTATAGGGGCTCCTGATTCGTTAAGGCTTGCATAGTTTATAGGGCTCCTGGTTCGTTAAGGGTTGCATTTTCTATAGGGGCTCCTATTTCGTTAAGGGTTGCATATTCTATAGGGGCTTCTGGTTCGTTAAGGGTTTCATATTCTATAGGGGCTCCTGGTTCGTTAAAGGTTTCATATTCTATAGGGGCTCCTTGTTTGTTAAGGGTTTCATATTTTATAGGGCTCCTGGTTCGTTAAGGGTTGCATATTCTATAGGGGCTAGTTGTTCGTTAAGGGTTGCATATTTTATAGGGGCTCCTTGTTCGTTAAGGATTGCATATTCTATAGGGGCTCCTTGTTTGTTAAGGGTTGCATATTCTATAGGGGCTCCTGGTTCGTTACGTGTTGCATATTCTATAGGGGCTCCTGGTTCGTTACGGGTTGCATATTCTATAGGGGCTCCTTGTTCGTTAAGGGTTTCATATTCTATAGGGGCCCCTTGTTTGTTGAGGGTTGCAAATTCTATAGGGGCTCCTTGTTTGTTAAGTGTTGCATATTCTATAGGGGCTCCTTGTTCGTTAAGGCTTGCATATTCTATAGGGGCTCCTTGTTTGTTAAGGGTTGCATATTCTATAGGGGCCCCTTGTTTGTTGAGGGTTTCATATTCTATATGGGCTCCTGGTTCGTTAAGGGTTGCATATTCTATAGGGGCTCCTGGTTCGTTAATGGTTGCATATTTTATAGGGGCTCCTTGTTCGTTACGGGTTTCATATTCTATAGGGGCTCCTTGTTTGTTGAGGGTTGCAAATTCTATAGGGGCTCCTTGTTTGTTAAGTGTTGCATATTCTATAGGGGCTCCTTGTTTGTTAAGGAGGGGCTCCTTGTTTGTTCAGGGTTTCATATTCTATAGGGGTCCTGGTTTGTTAAGGGTTTCATATTCTATGGGGGCTCCTTGTTTGTTAAGGGTTGCATATTCTATAGGGGCTCCTCGTTCGTTACGGGTTGCATATTCTATAGGGGCTCCTTGTTTGTTAAGGGTTGCATAGTTGCATATTCTATAGGGGCTCCTTGTTTGTTAAGGGTTGCTTATTCTGTAGGGGCTCCTTGTTTGTTAAGGGTTGCATATTCTATAGGGGCTCCTTGTTTGTTAAGGGTTTCATATTCTATAGGGGCTCCTTGTTTGTTAAGGGTTGCATATTCTATAGGGGCTCCTGGTTCGTCACGGGTTGCATATTCTATAGGGGCTCCTTGTTTGTTAAGGGGTTGCATATTCTATAGGGGCTCCTTGTTTGTTAGGGGGTTGCATATTCTATAGGGGCTCCTTGTTTGTTAAGGGTTGCATATTCTATAGGGGCTCCTTGTTTGTTAAGGGTTGGTTGCATATTCTATAGGGGCTCCTTGTTTGTTAAGGGTTGCTTATTCTGTAGGGGCTCCTTGTTTGTTAAGGGTTGCTTATTCTATAGGGGCTCCTTGTTTGTTAAGGGTTGCATATTCTATAGGGGCTCCTTGTTTGTTAAGGGTTGCATATTCTGCATATTCTAGGGGGCCCTTGTTTGTTAAGGGTTGCATTTGCATATTCTATAGGGGCTCCTTGTTCGTTAAGGGTTTCATATTCTATATAGGGGCTCCTTGTTCTTGTTAAGGGTTTCATATTCTATAGGGGCCCCTTGTTTGTTGAGGGTTGCAAATTCTATAGGGGCTCCTTGTTTGTTAAGGGTTGCATATTCTATAGGGGTTCCTTGTTCGTTAAGGGTTGCTTATTCTATAGGGGCTCCTTGTTTGTTAAGGGTTGCTTATTCTGTAGGGGCTCCTTGTTTGTTAAGGGTTTCATATTCCATCCCAAAGCGAGCTGAATTCGACGTTCTGTTGTTTTAGACGATTGCATTGCTGGCGCTATATAGGGGGAGTACGTGCGCGATCGGTTAGCACAAGCAATTTCATCGGCAGGGCGGATGCCCAGTCTCTGTCGTGAGAAGTTTTATTGACAATTGAAAACCGGGAGTTAAGTTGTTTAAAAAAGCAAACAAACATCAATATTATTTACCCGAGATCGTTCATACCACTTCAGATGCAAAATCAATTGCCTTTATAACAAAAAAAATAGCAAGCGAAAATTCAGTAAGATCACTCGTCTGCTGGTGACAGGCAATATTTAAACAGAAAGCCACGTTATCACAACACTCCCTCGCAGTGCGGAGCCAAAGTATGGCTCATCGTCGAAAACCCATACAAATCCACGGATGTGGCGAACGGCAACAGTTTCGCCGACACGATGTCATCAACCTTATTTTTGTAGGAAACACTTGATATTTTTGTGTGAAATAGATGAATATATCCTTTATCACCCAAGGTTAGTAAAATTAAAACTTCACATCATATTACAGATAAAAAATACGTTTTTGTCTTACATCGTCGAAAACCCCTGATACCGGGATATAGGGGCTCCTTGTCCGTTAAGGGTTTTATATTCTATAGGGGCTCCTTGTTTGTTAAGGTTTGCATATTCTATAGGGGCTCCTGGTTCGTTAAGGGTTTCATATTCTATAGGGGCTCCTTGTTTGTTAAGGTTTGCATATTCTATAGGGGCTCCTTGTTTGTTAAGGTTTGCATATTCTATAGGGGCTCCTGGTTCGGTTTAGGCGTACATATTCAGTATGGGCTCCTGGTTCCTGCTACAGGAAATAAATTAAAACCAAATACAAATATCGTAATTACTACCAAAAGCATAAAATGTCATTCAGTTATCAATATCCACCCCAATGAACAATATCCTGTGTAGTAGAGATATTTACCCTATTTCATATAGATTTCTGAACTAAATATTTTAATAGTCTAAGGTAGACAACTCTTTATTATAACGTCGCTTGTGTTCTGGGAATTGGAGTTACGGGCCTTAAATAGAATGGCGTCAAAGAACATCGTCTGGCATATTGTTCATTCAAGCAGGGAGACTCTATAAGGGGGAGTGGTCACTCCTCGGAAAGCTCCTAAGCTATGCCTCGGCTCGTCACGTGACCAGTGCAGCCAATATGGCGGCAGCGTAGTTTTTAAGATTGAGCGCGGTTTATTTTCAACAGCTGATTACATACGCTGAGTGTTGTGACAACTGAAACCTACATGTAGAAGATAAGTTACCTATTCTGTCACTTCATTTTAAGTCAAATACTTGTTATTAGTGTCAGTATAAGTACAGTAGCTTTGTAGTAAGGTTTCAAGTGGGCATGTTGTAGTTCACTGGCTTCAATTCTCAGTACACAGCGAAGAAAGACTAAATTATATCGCTAAAAACTTCTTTCACATATTCGTTTAATTTTTAGAAGGGAAATATACCTTTAGTTAAAAGGTGTTTGCAAGTAATAGTGATATTTTTATAACTAAAACATTTTTGTTAGGGTGTGTTGGAGGTGTGTGAAAAATAGGACATATCGCCGATCTGCCATTGAAATACTACAGGCATTGTTTGAGTGTTTCTAGTTATTGTTCTAAAACATCTTTCACATACACCTTCAATTTTTATGAGGGGAATATAGCATCAGGTGAAAGGTGTTTGCAAGTAATAGTAATAGTTTTATAATTTAAAAAAAATTGTTAGTGTGTCTTTGAGGTGTGTGAAAAATATGACATATCGCCGATCTGCCATTGAAATACTACAGGCATTGTTTGAGTGTTTCTAGTTATTGTTCTAAAACATCTTTCACATACACCTTTAATTTTTATGAGGGGAGTATACCATCAGGTGAAAGTTTTTTGCAAGTAATAGTGATAGTTTTAATTATTTTTTTTGTTAGTGTGTCTTTGAGGTGTGTGAAAAATATGACATATCGCTGATCTGTTCTGATACGCCATTGGTGCTTGTGATGCTTGAGTGTTATAGTTCTAAAACTTCTTTCTTTCTTGTTGATCTTAGTATTTGACAAAACTGGAAAGGTGTTTGCAAGGCTTTGTGATAGTTCTAAACTTTCTGTTCTTGAGGGGTCTGTGACAGTGTCAGTTAACATTCTGTCAATGCCCATGTCTTTCCACACATGCAATAAGATATCTGAATTAGTTACTAATGTAAAAAAATGTCTCAAAGTAAATTTTTTGAAAAAGGACAGCTGATGTTAACATGTGTTCTACCGATAGTTTTGCGTTCTTTAACATGTTTGGGGAGGGATGGCCGTGGTGTATCATTTATTCTTTCATTCATTCACATATGTTCTTTTTCTTAATTTCTTTCATTCATTCACATAAAATTCTTGCTCTTAATTCATTCATTCATTCATTGTAAAATTCCGACCTATACAATACACTGGCTGAAGTACTGTTAAACGCAGCCAAAGTTGCGCTGGGACCGAACCAAGTCACTGTGTGCGTTGGAGCATGACGAGGCACACGTTAATTAGTACAAATGGTAAAGAAAGCAAGCGAGTGACCTATCCCTGTTGTAGAGTATCCCTGATTCAAGTGATTGTCACATTATTAACACTTTACTGGGTAAGTGATAGCAGCGCCACAATCCCATCCAACAAAAGCTGTACAAAGACACTTGTTTGATATAACAATCAAATATTTCAATGTAGAAAGTATTTTGGGATGGTTTCCGGGAGTCATTGGCTGTGGTTTAGCTCCTCTAGTTTATATATAGCAACAGTGATCTTTATCTCTACAAATAATACAATGTCTAGCACACAAGATATACCTTTAATACGGTAAAACATGTCTTGCTGTCTTTTGATGTTTTATCTCAATTTTCATATTTTCATTGACTCACTCACTCATTCACCAAGCTATCTACTGTTGTTTCATCTGAAGTGATACAATATGGTATAACACAGCATTATACTTGCAAAATCGTTTGTCTTCAAGTACTGCATCCCTGGGATGGGTGTGCACTGTATTCAAGAAAATACCGTAGATATTGCAGCCAGTTTTATACATGTATACTGAAGGAAACAAGTAAAGGAACACCACTTCATGGCAGTGTTCCTTAATTTATTCTCAGATTTCCTCCCACAGCGCTATTCAAAGCTGGTGATGAAAACAGGAAAATATTTAAGGAACACTTGAATTTTCCTGTGTTCCTTTATTTGATTCTCTCAGTACATTGTATATAGTTTTAGGATGGTAAGAAACAAGGAGTAGGTCACTAGTCTTAAATGGCAATGGCCAACAAAATGGTCATAACGTAAAGGGGCTACATGGATGTGTGTATTTACATGAATATTAAAGTATTTAGTCTGAATGTTTAATTATTTGCTTTCTATTACAGGCATTAGAAGATGAGGGGCACATCGTAGATGAATACATTTTTGCAGACACAACATCCCCCCAAACTATAGATGAAATAAAGAGTTCCAGAAGAGCAAGTAAGTGCATCAATGATCAGATCTTGGTCTTAATGCAGGACTTTGTAATATCATTGATATCACTAGGAGATATATGAATATGCTTCGTTGCCAATCCATGTGCTGTCCAAACATTCACTCTTTGATAATAACATTGATGAGAGCTATTCATGTTAACTGGGACTATCAAGCATCCAGAATGGTCAAAGTGTGCCTGTTTTTGTTATTGCAGGAATGAATGGAAAACCAAAGAGAGAGGCAAGTATAATTAAGTTATTATCCTCCATCATAAATTGTAAGTTTCCTCTAAATCACTATGTTCTGGCAAATACTTAGATTTGTCCCTCAGTTTGACTGCTAAGATACTATGTTAAATTTCAACCTGGTACATTTAAAAAGCATCTGTAGTCTTAGCCCCAATTAGCAAATCAAAGTGAAGCATTTTTGAAGACATGTGTTGAAACCATGCTCTGTGGTCTTTAGTAAAGAATGAACAATGTATATACCCATAATAATGGTAAAAGAACCTCATCCGACCTTACAAAGTGTCATTAATACTGTATGAGAACCAGAGTGAGTGAGTGAGTTGGGTTTTACACCACTTTTAGCAACATTCTAGCAATATCACGGCAGGGGACACCAGAAATGGACTTCACACATTGTACCCATGTGGGGAACCGAGCCTTATCGTGACGGGTGAATGCTTTAACCACTAGGCTACCCCACCGCCCCTATGGGAACCAGAAACTCCTGCCCTGCCAGTTTGGTTGACTGAAGTATCATAAACTGAGAGCCCCAGGATATGGCATCATAATACTCTGAACATCAAGAAGCAGGATGTTGTGTCTGACCAAGCTGATATTTTGTCCCCTTACCTTGAAGGTGTGGTTGGTTATTCATGCTGCTGGGCACTAGTTTGCCTGGCTATAATATTCAAAGATGTTATGACCCAGCATGAATAGTAATGACAGAGAGTGACATTTACTCACTCAATGAGAGATATGGTAATGATCGATAAACAACTGGGTTACTCCAGAGCATTTCGGCTGTGTTGAAATATGTAAATTAATCCGCTTCTTTCATCCATGTTTATGTATATGTTTTGAATCAGCATCATGTAGAGTAACAAATTTTGCCTTGGCTTTAGGGGAAAGAGAAGGAAGAAGAAGAGACATATGAAGAAGACATTGAGGGTGACCCAGATGAAAGGGAGGATTTTGAGGGTGAAGCAGAAGAAAGGGAGGACTTTGAGGGTGAAGCAGAAGAAAGGGAGGACTTTGAGGGTGAAGCAGAAGAAAGGGAGGACTTTGAGGGTGAACCAGATGAATGGGAGGACTTTGTGGGTGAACCAGATGAATGGGAGGACTTTGTGGGTGAACCAGATGAAAGTAAGGACTTTGAGGGTGAACCTGTGGATGGCGAAGGTAAGCTTCTGACAACTGGTCAAATTGCATGAAGATGGCAGGATTAATTTTGTCATGTACTAAATAAAAGAAGAACATATGAATATAAGGAGTATTATTACAACCTATTTTGATAGCGTGGTTTTAAAGTTGAGAGAAACTATATCTTGAAGATGCACATTTATTTACACATATTATATAGTATTGGCTATGGATGGAACAAGGCATTCTTACTGTACCATCCGTTCTGGTATTTCGTTTTATCATTGCACTTTGGCAAACCTGGACGCCAGCATGCCCGATGGATATTTTGTCAAGTATACAGTTTGTATTACTATGTATGAAGAAACAGTTACATCACTTGGACAGAGTGAAGCCTTGATGTTGTGAGGAAGACTTCATGGGACATCTTGCCACTGTGATATTTGTTATGGATTTGACATTAAGAAACATCAGACATGGACACATCTTTGTAAAGAAATAGATGCTGTGATGAAGACTGGGTCCTGAACGACATTATAGAAGGATGTCGTGTCTGTGAATCAACTGATGTTCCAAGACCAAAGTGTTGATGGCAAAGACTGATAGCACTATTCTTCTACCTTCTCAAGACATTTGATTCAACAGAAGGGAAGTTACTAGTGAACGAACATTTCATGGTTTCCTTGTGGACTTCTGCAAAGCACTCATCAGTAGTTAGTTTATCATAATTATGTTAGTTACTTTTTACTAAACTGACGCAAATCTCATATTGCAAGGTGAGTATGAATTTTAATATCAAATGGACGTTGTGTGATGTGGTCTAAATTTGTTTTAACTTAAAAATTTCTCTAGCCCCACAAGATGAAGGTGAAATGGCGATGGATGTCGGCCAGGATGATGCCATAGTAGACTTGGATGAGGAATTTATAGGGGATGGTGAGGGAACAGTTGAAGGGGAAATTGAAATGAACGAAGCCGAAGGTGAAGCTGCCCCAGAAGATGATGCAGATCCTGAGATGGAGACTGAAATTATAGACGAAACTGAACCGGAGGCTGAAGCCGAGCCAGAGGAAGAAGAGGCTGCAGAACAGACAGAGGTTGTAACTGTTCCTGAGGTCAACCAGGTTCCTGCTCCTGTTCCTGCCCCATCCCCTACAAAATCCACTACACCAGCAAAGACCAAGGCCACTACCCCAGCAGCTAAAGCGACACCTGCACCTAAAACTACGCCAAAAGCAGTTGCAGCAAAAACTGCACCCAAGACGGCAACAGCGAAGTCAACGCCTGCAAAGACACCTGGAGCAAAGTCAGCAGCAAAATCCCCTGCAGCGAAACCAGCAGTCACACCTAAAACTGCTGCAGCAGACAAACCTACGACACCAGTAAAGACATCGGCTGCCCCAAAGGCCCAAACCAAGACTGCAACCCGATCATCCTCACCAAGAGTAGCTGCAGCTAAGGCATCAACTGCAACACCCAAATCTGCAGATGCAACAACACCATCAGCAGCAGCAACAACAGCAAAGGACTCTTCTAAGGATGAAATCACCCTATTTGAACCAACGGATGATTCTTTTGATGTGCGTGTGGATGACACTCAAGTGAATGAGATTGATGCAGATCTGAAAGATGAAAAAGGAGGCAAGAAGGCTGCTGGTGCTGATGCCACGGCAAGTGAAGAGGCCAAAGGAGATGCAGGCGAGGCTGTCAAAGTGAAGACTGAGGACAAAACTAAGCCAGCTGACAAAAAGGATGAGAAGAAACCTGAAGATAAAAAAGAAGATGCAAAACCTGCCAAGAGGTTGGTTTGGTTTGTATTGATGTCTTCTTGATCATGCTAAAGTCTTCAAAATCGCTCAGCTTTCACTTTCCATAACGACCAGATGAAAGAGATTGTCATTGAATTGAGCTGCTTCAGTTATGTTGAAGTTAGCTTACACCAATGCATTAGCTGTCCTCCTTTAGACGCTTTTAAGTTTCTGGTGTTTCACCTTTCCCTTGAACCAGGATGTAAAACAGCAACACAGCTCAAGTTAAAAAAGAGTGTCTATTAAGAGAATTAAATTCAGAGCCATCAATTTCTGTTAATTTACAAAAGAGAAAAAAACTATTTGTAAAATGAGGAATGAACTAAGCATGTCGGTCGTCTGAAGCAAGCATGAGCAAGTCTTTGTCAAGGTGACAGCAGAAAACCAGGGTTTCCATCCTTAGGAATGATGTCTGGCTGCCCAAGGTTCCCTTTGCTTTCATACAGTGCAATTGTCTAGTGCTCAAATTGTGATGGGATTTTATATTTCATTCCCTGTTATGATAACAACTTTCTTTTTCCCCTTTGATTGTGTTAAATGTCAATGAATCTAATATTGATTTCACCTTGGGAAAGGTTCATAATTATTTTATGCTTATCTCAGAATAGTCTGTTTGCCCTGAGGTTGAAGGTGATTTGTTTTGATATTATCCTAGTGTGATCAGCATAATGTTCAGAGTAAATTGGTCTGTGATATGGAAATATATATACTGAAAGGCAAAAGAAACGTCATAATATTGGAAATGACATTTATGTATCAAAGGAGTATTTGAACCTATTTTCTTTAAAATATACACAGCAGCTACGGCTAGGTTAACAAGAGATCAACAACAACAAGCCATTAGATGTCTAGACGCTGGTCAACATGCTTGAGTCATTGCTAATGACTTCAATTGCAGCGTACGAATGAATGTATAATATATACTGTAATCTTGGAAGAATACCACCAACATTTTCAGCAAGGTTAAAACTGAAAGGTTCTCTAAACATTTCTGATTTGACATTATTTCTTTCAAAATCCTTTGCAACTTCCTTCTGTATACATTTCACTTGTCATTCTGTCATGTTATCATTTTCAACGTGGATTCCCCACTTTTATCTTTTGTAGTTCTGAGGGCAAGGAAGGCAAGGAGAAAGAGACAAAGAGTAAGTGTGTTCATTCTTGTTAACAAAGAAGGGTTTAAGTAACAAATTATTGAATAGTTCAATTACAATTAAAATTCAAGGAAATTGTAAAAATAGGAGTTAATAACCATGAAATTCAATTTCATTACCCAGGCAGCCAGCATAGTCGCAACCTGTGGGTGAGTGGCCTGACTTCGTCAACTAGAGCCACAGATCTCAAGTCACCTTTCAGCAAATATGGGAAGGTGAGGTTATTACCTTTTTGTAGTATCAAATATCACTAAATAGTGAAGCAAAAAGACTCATATTAGTCAGCATGCATACCATATATCTTGTCTAAGGCACGATTTTTATTCCGAGAACTAGAAGGCTTTGAAGAGGGGTCCATTTGAGCATTTTTTCTTGCTGTATCACTTTTAGGTTCTACTGGTGATGTGAATTAGTGTTTTACAGTTTCACAGTAAAACCTCATATTACATCTGAAATAACTGGTCCAAGAACTAATTTGATACAAAAACTTCCATTGTATCTGAATTCCTTGTTGTTCCTAATATACACATTCTTCAAACATTATATGAGCCCCACCTCAAACATGATTGCCCGGCCAGATGACGCTTTGAAAAATAGCACTCTCCATCATTTTGGATAACTGTTGTTTCTATATATTTCTTTCTTTCAAATAGTCACTGTGTTTCCATTGTTTTCTTAAATACTATAGCTAATTATATGGTTATATTTTACATAAACAACAAAGGAGAAACTCCATGTTCATAACTACCATTGTCTTTGATCAGTTACTCATGTGACCCAACATTTGCTATCTAACTGGTGAACCTGACACCTTTTTCCTGATTCCTTTTTTGTATAAGCCAAGTAAAGTGGCGATTGAATAACAACAGACAAAATGGTGCCACTTAATGGAGTTCCACGTGGCAAACATCATATAAAAGATTGCAAATGTAGATGTGAGTATACACTTGGTGATACGCTTCGTACTTTATGGACTGGGTAGAAGAATTTGCATTGATTTTTGAAGGCTTTTATAGAGCAGGTGAATGCCATATACACGGGATCCCTATTCAGACAGCGATATACAGTATGGTTGGTAGGTTTGTTGTTTAACACCACAATATTTCAGCTATATGGCAGCAGTCTGTAAATAATCGAGTCTGGACCAGACACACAGTGATCAACATCATGAGCATCGTTCTATGCAATTGGGATACGATGACATGTGTCAAGCAATTTAACGAGTCGGACCACCCAATCCCATTAGTCGCATCTTGTGACAAGCATGGTTTGCTGAAGACCAATACTAACCCGAATCTTCACAGGTTTATACAGCATATGACAATACACAGGGCACATTGGAGGCCATTGTAGTTGATCTGTTTCTGTGCTATGATGCTTTTGTGAGATTTCCTGCATGTTAATGGCAGCCATTGATAGTGTACCATGAAGCAATATTTACTGTCTCCCTCTGTTCGACTAAAAAGGAACACCATTATGAAAATGTTATTCTACCCTTGTAGGTTATTGGAGCCAAGGTTGTGACCAACGCTCGCAGTCCAGGCTCACGATGCTATGGATTTGTGACGATGTCAACCGCAGAAGAGGCCTCTAAGTGTATTCAGCACTTGCATCGGACTGAACTGCATGGGAAGATGATATCTGTGGAAAGGGTATAGTGTACACAGTATTTTGAAGCTTAATATTCTCAGTATTTCTTCTTAAAGTAGCTCTATTAAATATTTCTTTCCATAAGGATACATACTATTACTATAGATACATCTTATAGCTCTGTAATTTCAGATTATATGGAGGTGTTATAAAATGGTATTTGAAAAAGAAAGTGCGCATGCTGTAATTTATTGCCGCAATAGGTAATTTTTATTATTATACTTCTGTGAACCCCAAAATATAAATACAATTTTTATGCATAATAAATTTACAACAAATACTTCTAACTGCTTATTTAACCAGCAAAAACGTAAATGATGTGAATTTGATGATCACCCAGTCTGTTTGTGGCTATGGCCTGTTTTTTCTGTTTATGGAAAATAATTGCTTGTCAATTAAATGACATGATATCCCTTGCAATTAATTGCTTTGAAATATTTGAGTACTAGTATACCATACCAATGGAGTGTTGAGTATCTTTTTATATTTTTACTTCCTTTATTTTACAAGGCAAAGAATGAACCAGGTGGACCCAGTAAGGCAGCTTTACTAAAGAAGGCAGAAGACAAGAAACCAGTTGGTAGGTGTTAATTATTCAAAGCTAACATTGACAAGACTTATTCCTATCCGGTGTAAGTTGGATGATATGTACCATTGCATTAATCTTTTAGAAGGTTCCCAATTGCGCAGATCGATGCTCATACTGTTGATCACTTGATTGTACAGACCGCCGCCATATAGTTGGAATATTGCTGAGTGTGGCGTAAAACTAAACTCACTCACTCACTTTTAGAAGGTAATCAACAGCAACAGAAACAAATCTTACTTCTTCTTACAATATGTAGATATTTCACACAGTCATTGTTGACCAAAGCTACTCTCACCTTAAAGCTTTTTTGTTGTCAGACAAGAAGGAGGCAGAGAAGAAAGATGGTGAAAAGAAGGTAGAGAAGAAAGTTGACAGGAAGGCTGACAACAGAGACAATCGGTCCAATAGACGTCCACATCATGACAAACGTGCTAGAAGAGAAGCTAGACGCCCAGAGAAGAAACATAATGATAAACAAACATCTTCCACAGATGCCAAGAGACATCCAACAACATCTCCTAAATCAGCAGGTTTGTTGTGTATCAGACATTGATTGTAGCAGTATGCGCTTGCAGCCATATATGCTTGTCAGGATTACCTCCCTTTGTAGTTAGTTTGATGGTCTCAATAGAAAAGTGACATCACCTCTCGCCTACTTTTACCACAACACTTATATACATGTATACAAATGAGGACGCAACATGGTGTCAGAAGTGGGATTGTAAAAGGAGAACAAGAGTGTTGTTCTGCAGTGTTCAGAATTAGGAAATAATGGGGTTTTGTCAAAAGCATTATGTGAAACGTTAATGATTCATTGAGTCTATAGATTCAAATACCAAAGGAGAAGACATAAAGGACCCATTAATGTTGTTCTAAAGTAACAAAAGGAGAGGTCATGTTCTTTACTTGTACAATTACTCGCAGGAATGTGGGATGTCATAGCTCCCAATGATATTGATGCAATTAGACTGAGGGTATAATGACATAATGACATACTAAGTATTAATGGATCTTTGATTGGACACCACATAAACAGAGGATATTATATCAGTGCCCATGTCGTACTTTGTTTACGACACAAGTGCCTAAATGTTGGTATTTCCCAAGCGAGAGAGAGGGATATACTGATATTTAGGCACGAGTGTCATAAACATTGTATGATATGGCACGAATATAGTACATGTATTCTGTTTATTACCAAAGTCGTCAAATTGAGGAAAATAAACCCAAATTTACTTTCAAACATAGGCTGGCTACCCACCGTCACGGAAGAAATGTGACATCATAGCATTGTTCATGACATCACATCACCATGACAAAGCGATATTTTTCCCTAGGGCATCGTATGAAAAATAGGAACCCCGATATGTTCGCCCTTGTAGGTAATAAAATGCAATACTTCACTTTTATGTATTGTCATATCCCCAAAATTGTGATACCAAATTCAACTTGAAGGCTATTATTTGCCACAGCAGCATAATGCTGTCATATTATTGTTGCAAGCAATACACCATTCATGTTCATACTCCTAAATAATATCTTTGGCAGAGATAAAGAAAGCTGAAAAGAAGACGGATGAGAAACAAAAAGAAGAGGAAGGTGGAGAAAAGGATGAAAAGAAGTCTGAATCAGACAGATCCCAGTCCAAGGATCCTAAAGATGTTCTTTCATTTGAGAAGATCGAGGTACAGCTTGTTTGTCAAAATTGTCATCTCTTTGTCTTGTTTCGTTTCCAGCAAGTAGTTCTAGAAAAAAGCAGTCACTTATTTAATACATGTGAAAAGCTGAAATCAAATAGTTGCCTTTGCTATTTAAGTTTTATGAAGAATGTCATTCAGAGACATCATCATGTATGATGCATTTCATGATTTCTTCTCCAGGCTGAGCGGAAACGACAACGTCTCCGACAAAAAGAGCGTGCTCTGCGTGATGAGGAGAGGAGGAGACTGTCTAAAATTGAGAGACAACGAGCAAGACAGAAGCAGATTCACTTACGTCAGCGAGAGAAGAAGCTATTCGACTTGAACGGGAAAAAGATAGACTGAGGTACCGGTATATCAAAATAGTGCATGGAATAAAAGTGTGAGATCTTAGTGTTTCAGTCAATGTCTACATATCATTAATAAACAGCCTATTTGCATAAACCAAATGATGCCTTTCCCACTTTGAATAAACCTAATATATTGTGTTGATCTGTTAATACAGACTAGAGCGAGAAAAGCTTGAACGAGAACGTATTGAAACAGAAAGACTGCGTCTGGAACGTGAAAGACTAGAGAGGGAGAGACTAGAACAACTCAGGCTTGAGCAACGAAGGTGAGGAAGAGTTGACAATCAACTATGTTAGTGTAGAAACATTGGAAACATCAAAAGAATGAAGTGTTCACTTTATTAATGCTTTCATCACCAAACAGAAATGGTGGTGAAGAGAGTACCACTATTCTTGCATGTAATGCAAACATGAAACTGTTTTCCTGGAGAAAATGAGTAATATTTGGGGGGCCAAATGAAGAACATTTTGTTGATTGTAACTTACAGATTAGATGACCAGCGAAGAGCAGCCAAAAGACCATTTGACAGTCGTGGTAGTCGCCATGATGATGACTACTGGAGCAGCCCCCCTAAACGATCCATGTCTGACAGATTGGATAATTATGGGGATTCTAGGTAAGGAATTCAGGCGTCAGTCTGTATATGTGATATTTACATCCGTGTATGTCCTCTTGAAAGTGTTACTCTGGTGAGTGAGTGGTTTTCAGTTCTCAACAGTCACAACTTTAATTGTTTTTCAGACGTGAGAATCGTATTGACCGAAGTGCTAATACGGACAGGAAGGTGGAGCGATATGACAGGCGAGACAGTCGTACTGCAGACACTCGTGGTTCTAACAGGGGACGCATTGAAGACCGAAATGACAGAAGGGATATGCCTGTGCAGCATGGATGTGATAGGGAAGAACGGCATGGAAGTGGCTTTGGAGAAGCACAGAGGTACTTCTGGCTTTTTTACAGTATAACCAAATTGTTCTTAAAATGAACCATTGATATGCCTGGATCAGATGCTTGTTTACAAGCTGACCAGATATGGCTGGAACATTGCATACTGTGGAATGAAACAAAATTTTCTTATTTCAGAACAGGATAATCTGCGTGAAACAAAATGAAAAATTAGACAACAAGAGCACAAATTGTCGTAAAGGAGCAATAACAGAAACTTTCCCTTTTGATATTCTTATGTTCATGTTTGCAGTTCACATTGATAACACTTCAGCAGTGAAGATGTTAAAGATTTCAGTCCGCTTTTCTGAACAGTTGTGTGACGTTCCTTGAGCATACCAGAAAATCTGATCATGAGTTTGAAACCTTGTACGCCCTCATTATGTTTAACGGTTTGCCAGCACCATTTCAGTACTCTTTGGTTTCACCAAATATCACCAAATAAGCATCTGAAACCTACATCACTTCAAACTTTTTCCTCCAACATTATGCACACATGCCATGATATAGGTGGAATATTTAGTCCAAATCACCCACTCTTCATGTACCTGTTCCCATGGGTTTAGTTCATTTGATATTATTTTATAACCAACTTTTAAGAATTATCATAAGATCAAATACAGATCCATAATTATGAACATTTTGTTGATTGTAACTTACAGATTAGATGACCAGCGAAGAGCAGCCAAAAGACCATTTGACAGTCGTGGTAGTCGCCATGATGATGACTACTGGAGCAGCCCCCCTAAACGATCCATGTCTGACAGATTGGATAATTATGGGGATTCTAGGTAAGGAATTCAGGCGTCAGTCTGTATATGTGATATTTACATCCGTGTATGTCCTCTTGAAAGTGTTACTCTGGTGAGTGAGTGGTTTTCAGTTCTCAACAGTCACAACTTTAATTGTTTTTCAGACGTGAGAATCGTTTTGACCGAAGTGCTGATACGGACAGGAAGGTGGAGCGAAATGACAGGCGAGACAGTCGTACTGCAGATACTCGTGGTTCTAACAGGGGACGCATTGAACACCAAAATGACAGAAGGGATATGCCTGTGCAGCATGGACGTGATAGGGAAGAACGGCATGGAAGTGGCTTTGGAGAAGCACAGAGGTACTTCTGGCTTTTTTTACAGTATAACCAAATTAAAGAAAACTGATTTGTATGGATAGTCAACTTCTTTATTGCAATGAGTGCAAAGTTTCGGTGTAGGTACTAACACCGTTATCAAGCAAGTGATACAACAACTGAAGCAAGGAGAATATAGACAAGACAAGACAAGATTTTTATTAGGTCAAAGACCAATACAATATATATATATATATTGAATATTTGCCTGTGCACATGGCGAGGTATGTATATAAAGAGAGCAATCACATTGTTATTATCATTATAGCCCAAGAGTGAGGATATATATATACATAGCTGTATGGTGAGTATATACAATTAACAAGGTTGATGTACATTGGATATTTGATAAGTTATTACAGCAGAGGAGGTTGATGTACAGAGTGATTGATTGTGATTAGAGTTGAGTTTATACAATTGATGAGTTGACGTACAATAGTTGTGATTACAAGCACAAAGGAGGGAGCATGGAAGCCAGATGGACAACGGAGGTAGGGAAGGATTACTGGTGGTGGTGTTTGATTAGGTGGTGATAGGCTGACGAGATGAAATAACCTTGATCTCGAGATATGGCTGGAACATTGCATACTGTGGAATGAAACAAAATTTTCTTATTTCAGAACAGAATAATCTGCATGAAACAAAATAAAAATTAGACAACAAGAGCACAAATTGTCATAAAGGAGCAATAACAGAAACTTTCCTTTGTGATATTCTTATGTTCATGTTTGCAGTTCACATTGATAACACTTCAGCAGTGAACATGTTAAAGATTTCAGTCCGCTTTTCTGAACAGTTGTGTGACAATTGACAGTTTCTTTGGTTCAATATTGTCTTAGATTTGCAGGGCTTGATTTAGGAAATGGAATCTACTTGCACCTAGTGCAACTTCAGGTGATTAATTTGTTGCAACAGACAAAAACAGGTTGCACCTTCTGCTGAAAATAAAATTATATATAATGCTCTGGTTTGGGTTGCTATTGATGATTTAGAAAATAATTATAACAAAGTTATCAGTGTGTGAAAAGATCATTTCATCTTACTTCAAAACAATTGTTTTACATGAACAGTAAGAATCTTTCATTCAATGCCCTGGTTCAGTTTTCCTTTTTGGTGCTCCATGTGCAGAGTTACATCCCTTGAAACCTTGTACACCCTCATTATGTTTAACGGTTTGCCAGCACCATTCCAGTACTCTTTGGTTTCACCAAATATCACCAAATAAGCATCTGAAACCTACATCACTTCAAACTTTTTCCTCCAACATTATGCACACATGCCATGATATAGGTGGAATATTTAGTCCAAATCACCCACTCTTCATGTACCTGTTCTCATGGGTTTAGTTCATTTGATATTATTTTATAACCAACTTTTAAGAATTATCATAAGATCAAATACAGATCCATAATTATTCCGAATAATTTAGGTACTTAAGGATAATGTGGGTTTGTGAGAATCTACCTATTTTCAGATATTCTGAAACTAGAAACACCAGAGATGACAGACGAGACACGCGGACACACAACCGCCAGGAAGAGAATAGACGAGATTTTAACAAAGGTCGAGATGATGACAGATGGAACACGAGATTGCCTCAGCGCAATGATTCTCAGAGTGACTGGAAATCAGACAGTGGTAAGAATAAAAGATTTTGAAAGTTGAGTTTTAGCTCACCTCTATGGAATTGCTTTGTACGTTTTTACTCAAAGTGCAGAGTTATCCACTGAGCACACAGTATATTTACTTCCCACATCAATTAATAGTATTTGGAATTAGAAATCCAGTGGAGGTGCCATGTTTTGGGGTTTTATTTTAGCCTTTATGTTTGTTTTGGCATAAGGCATTTTGTGCTGTTACTTGTGAGCTGGTTAACATGTAGTTCTATTTCACAAGGAAGATAATACCTTGCATACACTTCCAGAATGTTACTCCCCTGGTTCGGAGGGATTCAATAATCAGCTTGACTTTCCATCTGTGTATCTGTAATAATTTTTTGTTCATATGATATCTCTAAATCTAAGAGGCATTCATTCATGAAGCTTTGCACACACAAAAACCAGGTTGTTAACTTGTCCCTTTGGCTGTTGAGGGATTTTTAGAATGTTTACTTTCTTATAATTCTCACAGACGTGTTTTTGCAGAACACAAACTACTGGGGTTTTTCATTATCCACACACAATGACCAAATTGTATCATTCTTGACAGAATATCAATTTTTGTGTGACCCTATTACTCATACCTGTGCCAAAACAGGACCTTATAGTTAGTTCTGAATCCTATTTCCTTGGTATTGTTTTGATATCACTAACGACTGCTGTTGTATGCAGACAGATTCGATAGAGGAACTTGCGGGACATGATGGTAGCAAATTCTTTCAAAATGTGGGGAAAGGGTTTTTTCATCTTCTGGGCCTCTTAAATGAGGGTGTTTGGTTTCAGAGATAAGGATGGCTGCTGGAAATGGACGTGACCCCTGGCAAGGACAGAGTGGCTCTGGGGTGCAAGATGACAGATGTAGCAAGAATTTTAATTCTGGATCTGGTATGATGTCAAGTGAGTTTTTCCATATTTTCATTGTCTCGACTTGCAATCTTGCACAGATCAAAGATTAGCCTGCTCAACTATTGAAACAGTTGTCATATATATGATTAATTACTTTCTACAGATGGTGCTAATTCCAATCAGCGACAGTCGTGGGGAAATAACAGTGATCGTAGCAAGATAGACCAGTCCTGGGGCCATGGTGTTGTGGACAACTCTGGGCCCCGGGGAGGAGGCGGTGACCGGTGGATGGGTGGAGTACAGAGTACACATAGTGACCGAGGAGGAGGATTCAACATTGGGGGGAGTGGGGGTCTGATGAACAACATTGGGGGACCAGGACTGTACATGGCTACCACCCCACAAAACCCAAACCTCATGATGATGGGCAGCATAACCAGACAACCAGAGGCACGCTACTTGCAACAAGGAACACTTCGAAGATTCTAAATGGAATGTGTCTAATGGATGGTTTGGACAGGGGGTGTGCTCGCAGATCGTGTTCATATATGATAAATAGCATTTCTAACAAATCTACTAAGTCTTTATCCAGGAATCTTACAAGTTTCCACATTTGGTGATATTGTGAAAAGTACTAGTATATGAATGCCTTGAAAATTGACCATACAATATATGGCTGCCTATTTCATGATCATTGTGCTTGTGAAATTCTATTCAGTTTGATGTTTCCTGTTATACAATGATGGACTTTATTCATCTGTCACTATAAACTCACACTACCTTTTAGTACACATGAGTTTGTAATCACCACAAGCTTTTGTAAATGGGGGCGAATGAACGTATGATCATTGTATTTCTTCAAATCTTACATGTGCAGCATTGTTGTAGAAATCTGTCACAAACACCAAATCTGGCCAATATAAGTCCCTGGAACTAAAAGATTTTAGTGTAAGTAACCAGCATTTTGAGTCTCCTTATGTCCAACATTTTCAGCATTTGTATAATTGTGAATTATGTGTCAACATTATGTTTGTATATGCCCATTCTTCAGCTGTATCACCAACAGATGTCTCATTATTTTTGTCCATCTGGATGGAAAATTCTAAGCAAAAGTCTAAATGATATGCTTGTTATCAGGTCTCTACATTTTAGGTTATCTATTTTATGATGTTAGAATATTTTTCGATCAGCTTATGCCCAATTGTCATCCATTAAATTCTCTTATCATATTTCCATATTTGTTTTGGGCCACACATCTTCTAACTAGAACTGATGGGGGAAACTTTGGCTTTTCTTCACACAAGCGTAGAAGCCATGACATAACTGAGGTTGTTCAGAGTGGCTCACTAGTTCTGACAGAGTGCTGCCTCAGTAGGACATGCTTCTTGTAAAGCAGCCTTCAAACTTTCATGTCATTTGAGCGTCATGTCTTTATTGATGCGGTTATGTGACAATTTCATTGTTTTTTAACAATACGAGTTTGACAACACTTCACACATCAAACTCTAGTTTGACAACACCAAAAGTTTGATGGAAAAGTTGGTGAGAATAGAGGCCAATCCTATTTTTCAATAACAGTTTGACAACTCTGAAATTGGTGTTGGTGGCGAGTTGTTGGAATGTTCACACTCTCAAACTTGAGTTTGCCATGTGAATGCCGCTTAAGAGTCTGTTCAGGATTGAATGGTGACCATATTTTTTTTGTTTGGGGGTCATTGTTTCATGCAACAGGGGCCTTGGCTTGCCTGTTCCTAATTACATTATTCACAGGTTGCAGCTTTAACAATATCTTTGCCTCAATTCACAGCAGACAGGGCTGTCACCGAGTCTGATGTATTCAGCTGGAGACCTAGGGCTTAAATGTTACAGGAGTACAATGGGTGAAGCCTGTTCTTGGTGTCCCCAGCCATGATGGAATAATGTTGAAATTTCCTATATACCCAACTCACTCAAGGTGCAGCAATTTAGAAATATACTTTTATAATTATTGCAGAGTATAAGGTGTAAAACCAGGTACACTTGCTACATGTGCCAACTTGTGCTGGGTGTATTAAGTTTAGTATCATTTATTTTGTATTCACATTACTAAATATTGAGCAAGCCCCAGTTAGCAGCATGGTATAAAGTCTTCATATATGCATGGAATTTGCCCTTTAAGCATCCCTGTGTAAACACCAAAGACTGGACATGTATTGGACAAGGCATGTAAAAGATTATACTCAAAGAGAACACTGTGATATAGTAACATTGAACAAGATTGTAATGCTCTGCTTAACAGATGTAGAAATCAATACGGATCTATCTCATTAAACATTAAGACCAGAAGACACATGCCTCAGTGGTTGTCCACAGCAGAATCATTAAGACCTAGCTATGGTGGGCACTCCCTTGAGTCTCTGCAATAGATAGATTTCCAATAGTCCCAGAGTCTTTGTACAGTATATCAGCCTTACCATGGCATGACCACTTCATGGGTCACAAGTTGAAGACCCACAAACATGTATGTGTATAGACAGAACAAGGATCCTATCTGGTTTGGTTTGGTTGTTCTTAAATGCTGCCCTCAGCAATATTTCAGGTAAGTGGTGGCGGTAAGTAAATAATCAAGTCTGGACCAGACAATCCAGTGATCAGCATCGTGAGCATCAATCTAAGCAATTGGGATACAATGACGTGTCAACTAAGTCAGCGAACCTATCCACCTGACCCCTTTAGTCTTAGACAAGCATGGTTGGTGAAGACTAATTTTAACCCGGATCTTCACGGGGGGGATATCATCTGGACAAATGGACCTTTACCCTGCACCACAACTTCAATCCTTGATTAATCCATGTACTCATTTGAATCCTTGAGCTAAGATGAGTGAAATATTTTCTCTGGTTCATATTTTGCTTTTAAGATTAGAAGTGACTTAATGTTATCCACTGAGGTAGATCATTTCATGAGTTACACTGTGAAGTAGAGCAGCGGCTAGTCAGAATTAATTATAATGTCTATAAATTCACTAAAGGAACAGGGGAAGGTGGTGCAGTTCTTTAAGACAAACAGGTTGTCTTTGGCTGCACACTGAGAAGATACATAGGATGAAGATGCTATAGACAACATAGGATGTATTGTGTTTTTTGTTGGTTTATTCATCTTTTATATACAAATAAGCATAATAAATCACTTTTAAGAGATCTTTGTGTGTGGCTCCAATTGGTTAAAACAATAATACTGATGTAATACATGTGACAAAACTAACACAAGCATAGATTTGCACTTAAAAAGATTTATATGCCACAGAAAGTTACAGTTAAAGTATGTACAGTGAGGAGACAGTATCTGAAGGTAAATCAACAAGCTGGGTAATGACACGTCAACTGCAAACTTCTGCAATACTACTTCATGGAAATGGAATACATTATAGTTTTACACTGTAGCCTTGGACTACACACATATACCTAAACAAAATGACATTCATGAACTAAAACTTGAAAGATAATATCCATTTGTGGATCGTCTAAAAGTATGTTACAGTGTGTGTTTTGCATCATTTGGTACGTTATTTCTTAACAAAAACAAACAAAAATAATATATACATCACAACAACAAATGTATCTCCAAGTAATCATGCAACAGTGAAATAGATGGCCGACAGAACCAGAGTGAACTCCATCAACTGCAAAAGTTAAATACATAACAATCTTTGAATAATTAACTTCAACGGTATTGGTTTCTTTGATACTTTAATCAGATTTGTATGCCCGGACTTTACTGATATCCCTGGAGTTTGAGGGTGGTTGGGTAGCGGGTGCGATGGGTCATGCACTTGTCTCTGTCAATGAAGAGACTGTTTTTCTTGCAAGAGATCTCCTTCTCAAGAGACATACGGTTGTCCTGGAGATCCTTCAAGGAGTTGACAGCATCGTTCAGCTTTGCCTGGAGGGCATCAATTGACTGGCAGATCTCATTCACCTCGCCAACTAGCCTGGAGGAGGAAAATAGGAAGCAATTTTAACAAATGTGAAAATGTGATGAAGGCTATGTTTGTGTTTTTTGTCTCCGTGAAAATGACATTTGAAAATACTTTAATTATTTTTTTAATAACAGATTTCTAACAGACTCCACATCTGACTTCAATGTGTTTTGAGTAAAATTGTACATACTGATATTGCACAGGATCTCTGCACAGATCAACGCCTGGACGGAAGGTTCTGTTCTGGAGGCGTGTTTGAGCAACTTTAAGTGGGTCCTCTTTGTCCCTAATGGCCCTCTTCAAGTTCTCAATATTCTTCTCCTGGCTGCTGATCTCATCACACACCTGCATGAAAACATTCCATCACAGTTAGTTACTCCATGATATTGAAATGGGTGAAAAGTCCCAAATGACATCAGATACCAATATTAATAGATGCGTGAGTGAGTTTGGTTTTACACCGCATTAAGCAATATTCCAGCAATATCACAGTGGGGACACCAGAAATGGTCTTCACACATTGTACCCATGTGGGGAATAGATCCAGGATCTTTGGCATGATAACCATGTTAAATAAGACAAGAATATCTGAAAAGTTATTTTACAGTCTCTTAATAAAAGGCCTAAAATATGAGAGGGAAATCTACACTGACTGAACTACAAGCCTTATTATGATATCCTATTCCTGGTGATAACAATATATGTCTAACATGGCTTTCACCTCTGAAGGAAACAGAGTATGTGATTTATGACAGGTATAGCAAGAAAACATGTTGAACCCGACATGAAGCTCTCTTCTCTATGACACGGGTTCAAATTCTGTCATTGGTTTTTGACACTAGTCATGGCAACAAGACCCATAAACAACATCTGTTAAACAAGCACTCCAAAAACGTCCACAAATGAACCAATCTCCCCAACCAATATACTTGTGGAATAATTTCCAGTGGGTTTATTGTACAAAGTCGTTTCAGTGCACAGGTAATCATAACTCCCATATTTTAACAGGCTTAAGATTGTCATAGAGTTAAGGTTGCTTTGCACAACAACCCACAGGTCTACTATTATTTATGGATGACATAAGGCATTTTGGTTATGCTGAACAAACTTGTGTTGTAGGTTAAAGCTTGAGGACTTGGTGTCTAATTGTTGAGAAGGCTTGTAAGGGAGGGGTAACTAATCATTTCAAAGATAAAGATTCAAACCCATTTAAACCATAGTTAACATTCAGGAAACTGTAGCACCAAAATGTGTTTTAAACAACCAAAAACAACGTACAAGAACTCTATGCTTAACTGTGAGAATTTGTAACATGTTCCCTGCGCCTTTGGCATCTTCATGCCACTCTTTGGAAGCTAGGTTGTGAAATCACGGGTCGATGTCATCTGGACAAATGGACCTTTACCCTGCACCACACCTTCAATCCTTGATTAATCCATGTTAATCAAGCTGGGTTGTGAAATCTATGTACTGGGGCAAGTATACAACTCAATTTGACAATCACATACATTTACGTATTAGATTGTGCTGATGGGCCTATAATGAACAAACATATGGCAGTGATATATCGTATGACTTCAAGTAAAAACCCCACTAGCATGAAAATCTTCCATCATAATAATTTGAAAAGTGGCTTTTAACTAACAATTCACTAAGTTAATGAATGGTTGAAGAAAAATTACTTGGTTTAAGAGACATTAATGGTGGATTGCTGGCTCAGTAATGTTTTGTTTGTGTTAGATGTTTGCTCAGTTGAAGTGTATGATATTACTACACTTTAAATCTAGTGATAAACAATATATACTTGTGATAATATTGCTGGTGTGAGCACGTGTTTTTCATTAATTTGATCCCATACAAAAGAAAATTGTTATAAAGCATATTTCCCATTAAACAACCCAGCATTTTCTTGACATTAATGCTTTGAATTAGTCAATTTTAAGACAATCCTATTCATAAAAATTAACTGTTCAAAACATTTATGAAGAAACTATTGTGACTGAAAGCCTGACCTTGTGGAGATTCTCCTCAAGCTTGGTCTTGGCATCCTCCATGTCCTCAACACGTTTATTGAAGGCAACATCCACGCCATCACACTGTTCCCGCATGTCACGGGATGTGTCCTCCAAGATGTTGTCGATGAGGGTTCTCAGCTGGATGGAGGCCATTCGCTCATGCTCTGCTCTCACAATGTTGTCATGTGAAAACTGAGCCCATGACTCGGGGGTGGATTGGCTGGAATAGTGTGGATTATTTCGTGATTATAATTGTAAATTCATACCACTGATGTTCATTTTTTCTAAACCATTATATTTTGCTGAAGTCTGTTCTGAAGAGATAAACATATATCCATACTCATATGAGTAGATATTATGACTTATACTTATGAACTGAATTGGTGGTGAAAACCATCCTTTTTAAGCTGGTTTTGGTCAATTTAGCCCTTTCTATAATGTAATTAAATTATTATTTTCATCAATTTAGCCCATTTAAATAAACTATACACCTGATTCGGATTCAGTTAGCCCTTTTTTATATAGTCATTAAATTCTTTGTCTGAAACAACTTGTATTTATCTTACATTTCTTGGAACTTAGCTGCTCCGGGGTAGAACTGTTTGTGAGTGTGGTGATTCCTAAGTGATGCGCATTTTGTGTCAATTTCCAACGCTTCCTTTTTATCACTCCAATCCATTTCCAGATCTTGCTTTGCATTTCGGTTTAGCCTTGAAAAAGAAAATAGAGCTGTTCATGCATCATTTCATGGCATAAATACTTTGAAAGAGATAACTTGAAGATGCATTTTTCTAAAACATTACAAGCTTTGATGATGAAAATAAATGTTCATGTATTATTTCTGAGGAAATTGTAATAATTTTTCAACTTGGATATCTTACTTTATTTGTGCATCAGCTTGACCGATTGTTTTCTGAAGAAGATCTTGCACATTGTTAATTATCTCAACCTCCTGAAATAGAAACAAAACAAAACTGATTTTTATACATATATATCAAAATACTAGTTTTGACACAAATATATAACACATTTCCACTGTACTCAATATTGTAAAACTCCAATGTTTGACCTCATATATGGTAAAATTGGTTGTGTTCTCAGCACTCAGCTGCTGACAAATGGTAAAAACGAGAGCAATACATTGCTATGATGGCAACTAAATATATTACTGCATATATCAAGAACACTCAGGCTATAGATTCCTTTGACTGAGCTAACCTACAATATACATGGGGACCCTATACATGACATAAACAATACATGATCTGCTTGACAGCTTACTATACAGTACAAACCTTTAATAATGACAGTTCTGGGTCATCTTGAACCAGATCCACACCCTGTCTCCTTTGCCTACAGTTGAGATTGTCTGTTGCAATATGGAGAGGTACTTCAGTGGCACGTAGGGCATTCTCCAGCCGCTTTTTCTGAGCAAGCAACAAGTCTGTTTCAGAAATAACATCACCAATTTCCCTTTCAAGTTCGAACTTCCAGAAGTTGATATCTTGGACTCTTTCGTTCAGCTTCTTGGTCACTTCGGACTGTGTTTTGTTTGTTGTTGCTTCAGTTTCATTTGAAACTCTCTTAGAGTCGTGGCGCAACTTTTCCGCACCATCTCTGTCAACAAACGACTGGTAGTACTTCGAGTAGTTACTTTCATGCCATTCTGAAGGATTGTACTTAGCCGACCGAAATCCCTCAGTGGATATTCCCATGTTGTTTCCAGTGTTGCCAGTGTAAACTGTCTCCATTCCATTATTTACAGTGCCTGGTTCTGACTTCATGACAGGCCTCTCAGGTGGAATCTCATGGCTCATAAGTGTTGCCGTCGCCATACTTGCCTATTGTGTGCTACGAGTGTACTTTGAAAGTTACTTTTCTACTCCTTTAGTAATCTGCATGGGCTGGACGTGAGGAGAAACAGGATAAACGTTGCTTAGAGATCCCCGGCAACCATGAGCGGAAGTTTGTTTCTTGTCGCCATGGAAGCTAAAGCGCCACCTACATTCGTAACAGCGCGTGGAGTTTTTCCAAGCTCCTCACAGCGATACCACGCTCCCTCCGCACATAAGGAGGTTAGACGATTACGTTACGCGTTGTGGTGAGCTTCAATCGGTTTCGAACGTTTCGACTGCACACTCCGGTGCAGGAGAGTGACTTCGACTAGTTCCCATTCTGCTGTCACACAATGTGCAAATCAGTTTTC